GCTTCTCACTTAATTATGCAAATTTAATAACAAACGCCAAATGGTGCGCATAAAGAGACAGAGACAGAGACAGCAAGAAGAAAGAGATAGCTAGAGGAGGGGTTTATTATAAATGCCATTATGCGACAGAGGGAGGCAGGAATGGGGAGACCGGCTCTGTGGCTCTGTGCTCGGGCTTTTGGTTCGGGAACTTTGTTGCAATTCTTTTGAAGCATGCCCCAAGGAGTCGTAGCGGTAACAGCCCGGCCTAATCAACGTGGTTTCGTATTTTTTGTGGTGCTTGGTGTGTTCTCTCTTCCCTTTTTACTTTCTCGTGGGCACTTTCTCTTCACTTTCACCCTCGGAAACAATCCACTTTTGTGCATTCCCCTCAGCTGTCGCTAATGTAATTAAATCGCAATGTCGGCGGAGACGGCCGAGCCTTTTTTTTTTGTTGCCTGTACTTTTCGGACAATAAAATTTATGCACTCGACCCAAGGCGAAAGTGGTGAAAGGAGAAAGTGCGGTGGGCAGGAGGAGGACCAAAATGACACGACCAGCTGGCAATCTGTGGCCTAATCGCAGCTCCAGACCGGAGAGTGAAAATTGTCACAAAACGAAAAGGGTTGTTAAAAAAATGAAGAAAACTGGAGAAAGGAGAAAGCAAGACCGAGGCAGGAGGACGGTAACAAAGGCTATAGGATGGGTGTGTGCATAAAGGATAATTGCAAGGAACCATATAACGTTCGCCATTTGCCACTAATGTCATGAAAAAAAAAATAGAAGGAAGCCCAAGACCCGAATGATTCTGTGAGTGTGTGTGTAGTGCCCACATGTGTGTGTGTCGGTGACAAGTTCCCAACAATGGCCACCATCACCAACAACAACAATAACAACTACAACCACAACACTAAAAAACCAAAGAAGATGGCAAATGCAAAAACCACAAAAAAATAATGACAAAACTGGCCAGAGACAGCGACAGGGGGCGGAAGGAGGGGCTGCGGATAAGAGGGGATAATAGTTTCAGGGGCGGTGGCAGAGGGGCAGGAAACGAAAAGCAACAACAAACCAGAAAAGTGGCTGCCACAGTGGTAAGAAAAGGTTTAAGGTTTAAAAATATTAAATAGTTTTGGTGAAGAAACATTTTTCATAACTTTAATTTAAGATTTTTTAAGATCATGCTTTCTATATCCCATATTATAGAAGCATATCTTAAATACCTTAAATATTATTTTTTTTCTAAACTAAAAACTAACTTTTCTAACCACTGTACCTTGGCCAAGCGGAAATGAAAGTTTTGCGAAATTGCAACCACATTTGCATGTGTACTGGAGACTCTAGTGCTCTCTCCCTCTGTGTGTGTTTGGGGTGTATTTAGTTAATGGACTAGTTTTGTTATATCCCATGGAGGGCCACAGCCACCCGACCCTCCCCTCCCTGTAACCCTGTCCCCTCTACGGTCAAGGCCCTTTTGGGTAAATCCACTTAGGTGGTGGGGACTCTTTACGTATTTTTTTTGTCGGCCTGCTGCGGTCGACCGCACAAATCCAAATCAATCAACGACAATGCTCCCCAGAAACAACTTTTCTTTCTTACCAATTTTTCTTCTTTTGGTTTTCTGCTTTTGCAGTTCAACTAACAACTGTAAATGTTGCACGGCTAATTGGCCAAAAAAAAGAGGGGGGAGGTGGGGTGGGGTGGTAGCAAGAGGCCTCATCAATCATCGAGAAACACGGACCGCCTGCCTGGAACAGGACCCACGTAGCCTTCGCCACTCCACCTCTTGAAACCATTTCCGTATCCGAAAGTCCTTTGTTTCATGTTGACATTTCAGGTTGAGTTGTCAAAAGTCCTTCCAGCTGAAATCTTAATACCAAAACCCCAAAAACCGAATTTGTGCAACTTGAAGTGGCCCAGGACCCAGGATCAGGACCTTCCTTATTCTTTCCGCCTTTTGTTTGCCTTTCAAATAAAAATCAAAAAATCATTAATTAAATAGCAACCTCACCCCATGGATATTCTTTATATATACATTTTTTTTCATTTCGGATTTTGCTGCTGATGATGTTGACATTTATAATACATCATTCTTGATCGGGGCTCATAAATAATTGGGCAATCAGGACTGCCACACACACTATGGACGGAGTGCCCCAGAAAGGGGGGGGCTAAGTGCATGAGGGAGATGTTCGTCCTGTTCGTCCTGGCCGTCCATCTCGCCTGTCAATCACCAATAAAATATTCATCTCTCTCCTGCCAAATTATTATTTGATTTGACGTTTTGAGTGCTTTATTATTTAGCTGTTGATGTAATTTTTGGAGTGTAAGCAAATTTGCAAAATAAATAAGAGTGAAGGATGATTATTTAATTAAATTAATAGATACATTAAATAATTAGCTAAAATAATAGATAGACATGACAAAGATCTACCATTTTGGGAAATATTTTCCATCAGTTTCAAAGAGTTTTGAGAAACCCTTTATTTTTTATTGAAATATTTAAAGAGTTTCTTCTTTATTTAGTTGGCAGGACATGGCAGCACATAGTTTATACATCTCATTCTAGACAGGGGCAAGGACATTGGCCAGGACATGGTGCAAGTTCTGCAGAAACCTTGCTCCCAATCAGATTTCCCTTCGGACATCACCTCCAGGCTGTTACTCCAGTGGCAGTTGACATTTTTCCCACATTCCCCTGCCACACAGCAATCGGGTTAAGAGGGGGGGGAGAGGTCTCACAAAGAAATCGCGACCGGACAGAAAATGGCCGAGGAAAATTGCAAAACTTTGTCCGCCAGCTTTGAATGCCATTAAGTGTCGCCTCCGACGCGGATGCGGCCACGGACACCCACACACATGTTTATCCATGCAACGCAGTCGTCGTGCCACAACCTTTATGCCCCCAAAGCCCCATTCCTCATGCCTCACCGCTTCTTTCATTTTCTTCAAGTAAAGTGAAAATAAAAAAAAAAATGAGAAAATATTGTGACGCTGACATAATGGCGGAATCAGACACGCACACTCCAACAGCCGCATGCCACAAACCGTTGAAAGCATAAAAAAAAAATACTTAAAAAAAAAGATTTAAATAAATAACAAAAAAAAAATAGAAGAAAAAGATGATGATGCTGTGAAAGGCTTAAACTAAGCTTTCAGCCAACCGCGAGGGTAGTTGGCCATATGCCCCTTAAAAAAAGTGAACTTTAGTTGTAAAATAATTTATATTTTTTAATTTTAAATTATGATACTTGTTTCACATATACTTTCCAAATTAAAAGTTATAATGCCACAAACAGAATTCACCACCGGCCAACACTGCGTATGCGTAATATAATATTTGTTATACTCACATGTGTGCCTTCCCGAGAAGCCCTACAGCTTTTAAAAGTTTCCAATTTGCAATTTGTAATTTGTTATTTAAAATGCATAAACTAAAGAAACTATTTTGTGTAATTAAGTTTGAGGGTTTTTGCAATTTCATGTTCTGAGAAGTGGTTCACCCTGAAGCCCTGAACGTTCGTCTATAAGCGCAGCTCTCTCTTTCTGCTGGTGTGGCTCTGTCTCACTCTATTTTTATAATAGTCATATGCAGACAGTAACTAGATAGCCACACCCCCTAAGCTGCCCATTCCCTAGAGTCCTTTTTTTCAGTCACGGCAACTGTTGACACTGCAGAGTAGCAAACGTTGTTGTTTTTGTTGATGTCCTTGCTAACGGTTATAGTGGGTGTATATCTGTATGTGTGTGTGTGTGTGTTAGTTTATCATATAAATATGCATTTCCCATTTTCCAGCACCAGCACCAGCAGGAGCAGGAGCTGGAGACATTGCATGCGAATATTTTTATACATATTCATTGGCTTGGCCATGTCCATGTCAATGTGGGTTAGTGTGCCTTCCTCGCCAGTGTCCTGGCTGGCTCCACGATCGTGCCACTCCTGTCTGCCACCTGCCACATGCAACTCTGGCCAGGCCATGCCACATTTGCATTTGCAATAATGTCAATAAAAATGCACATGTAATGCCAGTTCTAAGGACTAAGGATATCGAGGGAAAAATCTAAGCTAGCTATGCGATTTATTATTATTTCCTTCTCTTACCTTTTAATAAATAATATTCTAGTTAGTCGGCAAGTACATAGGTGCCCTGGGGAATAATAAAATTACCTGAAATTAATACAAATGTATACCGAATACAAGAAAAATGTTACAAGACAAGAAGGGAAAACAAAACAAGCCGAATGGCAAACAGAAAATATAATAAAAGTCAGACCTAATGGCCAAAAGGGAGTGGGGGGCAATACCCACAGGTCGATGCCAGGTATCGTGCTCTCGTATCGGTGTCCGTGTGTCCGCCCGCGTGTCCGTATGCCGTATTTGTAGCCGTGTTTCTGTCCCTGCCATGCGATGCCAGAGCGTGGTTTACACATGTTACCTGCTTACGAGGACACTTAAAAAAAATATAAATTAATAAAAAGATATGTAAAATATTTTTTAAAAATATTTATCAGTTTTTAAATAATTTAAATAAACTTTCATTATTTTTTTTATATTTAATTTATATTTCTTAAGCTCTATTTTCTCTAAGTGCCTTAGTACTCGTACTACTTTCAACAAAATCGGCAATAACAACCGCCATTAGTCGTCTCACTGTACTAAACTGACTGACTCACTAAGCAACTGACTAAACTAGTCTCTATACTAGACCCGATTTTTCAACGAGTGGGCGTGGGCAGTCAATAAAACGATTTTGATTATGAATGACAACATTTGAAATGTTCCAATTACGCTCAAATATTTTGATAAACTTTTACGGCAAAAGGATCCAACTGACTTATTGACTAACTAACTGACAGCTACGAATTTGTCAGTGTCATTTTTTGAAAGGAGAAAAGGATAATATTATAAATTATAAAGTTTATGATCTTAAACCTTTACTATATCCCTATTTTAGTCTTATTATCTTATAATCTTATATCCATTACCTTTATAATTATGTATTTTTATATCCTTCTTCCAGCGGACAGCTCGTTTCTTTTGGCCAACGCACAAATCGTCGATTTCCCGATCGTCTACTGCAATGAGTCCTTCTGCAAGATCAGCGGCTATAACCGGGCTGAGGTCATGCAGAAGTCGTGCAGGTATGTGTACGTATTGCCGATTTATTCTCTCATCTTCCAACCAGTTCTTGCTCTTTCATTGATGTCCTTTAAAGCTCTTGATGTTCTGTATTTTTTAATAAAAAATGGAGATGATACTTGAATCTCCTCTTTGAAAAATATTATAATCTTTAATTTAGTTACTAAATGCATGTGATTATTAGGGAGTTTTCTTAAAACTAGTCTGTTTTTTGGGTAGATTTTTATACCTAGATTTCATAGAATTTTCCTTATCTCCTTTTTGCTTGTTTTTTCTTCACACTTTTTGCTAATTTTAGTTTTTATCACCTTTAAAGTTAAATGCTCATTTCCTATGCAAATATTGGCTTTATAAGGCAGTTGCTCTCAAACTGTAAGCTGCATAATTCGCAGCTAGGTGGCAGCACTGCGCCGGGAGGGAGTGCCAGACATGTCAGGACAGGACAAGACCAAACACAGGACCCTCTGGGAAATTCCCTATGGAAACCTTGACAGCTAAGAGGATTGCCAGAGATTGCAGCAGATTTCTATCTCTCTCTATCTCTGTCTGGCTTTTGCTTTCTCTATCCCGTCATTAACAGCTTGTTTTCCCCCTGCTCCCCAACCCCCCACCCCCCCTTCCTTGTTTGGCCATCTTTATCTGCTTAACGGATTATCCGCAGCTGCTTACAACGGCCATTGAATGTGAAGTTCATTTAGCCATTTTATTGCCTGCATTTCCACCACCCCCCCTCCCCCTTCCCGACTTGTATTATTTTTCAATTTATTTGCGTTTTTACTTATTGTTATTGCCCTCTGACCCCCTCTCTCTCGGCCGGGTGGCATTAAAAAGCCATTGTCGAACTTAATGCACTTTGCTGCTCGGCCAACTTAATGCAAATGGAGTGAAAGGTTGCCGCGTAATGTGGATGAAAGCGCCACAAAGTATGCAACACACACACACACACCCCATAAACACATAATGGAGATATATGTCCTGCATTTATACAAAACGAGCCAGTTGCAAGGATAATTGCCCGAAATGTTAATGCCAAAATGGAGGGATACATACACCCCTTTGGGAAATTGCTTTCTCTTTTACTTTTTGTCCAGCGAGAGAAGGGGGTGTGTGTATGGGTGTGTGTGTGTTATGCCACCCCTTTCGTTTGCATTTCCATTTTACCGTTACCTTGTTTCAAATTGCCTTCCGGTCCTGACCAAACAAATATTCTATGCAAACCTTTAGTGAATTGATAGGGGTGGGGGGTAGGTTGGCGTTGGGAGAAAGTGGTGAAAGTGGGCTAACAAAAAAAAAATAGAGAGAAAGGCGTAACCAGCATCTGCAAAAGTGTTAACTGCATTTGTTTGCCTTAATTTGGCTACGAACTATAGCCATCTCTGTCGCGCTTTCCCTTCACCCCCCCTCGCCGCACCTGACTCATAAATCAACAAGCGCGACCCAGAGGCCAGTGTATCCAATGATTCTCCCGAGGATTGTTTGTAATTTACAGGCCAAAAAACAGACCTAGAAGCTCTCAAAAAAAAAAAAACTGTGGCAGGTGGGTGGTTAGGAGATGGGGGAGGGGGTGGTTATGCCCCACTTCCCCAAAAAAAACCTAAGCCCACCCCTCCACCTGCAGCATCAGCGGGCAATTCCCCAACCCGACCAGAAAAAACAAAAAAACCCGAGTTTTTAATGCCAATCTACCGTTTAGCTAGAGATATTTTCTACACTGATAAAAAAAATAAAATTAAAATTTTAAACTATTTAAAACTAAAATAAAAAGAATCTCTATATTTTCCTCTTTTGTTAATTTAAAATATTATAAAATTATTAAATATAATATAATTTCCTTTTACTTTTATAAATTTGTTTTTGCCAGTGTAGAGCACTTCTCCCATATGCACTCATGCTCTCTCTCCCTTTCCCTTTTCCTCCTCCGCTCAATCATCCATGTTAGTGTGACCCACTTTGTTGTTGTTTCTTTTTTTTCTTTCTGCTCTCTGCTCTCCACCATTTTTTGTTTTCGGTTTTCCATGCTCCTTTCTTCCATTTTTTTTTCTTCTTCTTCTTTTTCTTCTTTTTTGTTGCTGTGGTCGCGTGTGAGCAAGAGGAATTACGGCCAAAGGCAAGCTGAAAACATTGACCAGCAAAAAAAAAAAGTAGCCAAGAAATATGGGGGAGGGGAGCGAAAACCCAAGAGGAGGGAAAATGGATTTTCCCTCGATGTTTGCTTAACTGCGTGCGCTTTCAATGCAATTTCTTCAGAGTCTCGTTCGGAACTCGTTTTTCATAGTATACCTCAAGGCGTTCCATGGTGGTCCTTGGAAAATGAATTTTACCAACTTAGCTTCACAGAAACTTTAGTTTCGCCGAGCAGAAAGTAATTTTTGAATTTCCTCTAAGGGAAATTTTTACTTTTTTTTATATTTAACAAGGAATTTTCCGTTTTAAAATACTATTTTTTATTTATTTTTATTTATGTTCTTAGTACTGAAATAAATCACGCATACGACCTGTTGACCATTTTGTGCATCTCAGTGAATTCTTATCCGATTCGTGCGGGGAATACCTTGAACGATTTGTGAATCGATTTCCCATCATTTTGCATCAAAATCTAAGAAAAAAATATTTTTTAGAAATTTTTCAAAAATTTTTGGAGACCCCTGCAAAATCCTGGATTTCGCTATAAGGCACCTTCCGATGGCTATATCTTGGCCAATTCTCATCCGATTCTTGAGAGGAATACCTTAAACGATTTGTGGATCGATTTCCCATCATTTTGCATCAAAATCTAAGACAAAAATATTTTTTAGAAATTTTTCAAAAATTTGTGGGGGGATCCCTTACAAAATCCAGGATTTCCACATTTGACCCATAGCCATGTCTATATCTCCGCCAATTCTTATCCGATTCTTAAGAGGCATACCTTAAACGAATTGTAGACCTTTTCCCCATCGATCTGCATCAAAACCTCGCAACAAAATAATTTTTTGAAATTTTTCAAAATTTTCTAGGGAGACCCCTTAAAAAATTCTGGATTTTCACATCAGACCCCTGCCGACATCTATAACTTTGTCAATTCCCATCCAATTTTCAAGCGGAATACCTTTTACAAATCCTATTTCTAATACCTACCAATCTAGATAATTTTTTATTCAATATATGTATCTGAAAAAATATCACGTATACGCCATGTTAACCAAATCGAAAAATATTACGTATACGACATGTTGCTTAGTAAAATAGTTCAAAATTCTATTTGTTTTATTATTTAGTTGAAAATATGAAATTTAAAAGGTTTCCCCAATATACATACATACATACACATATATTTTGAACCGATTTTCTTGTCAGCTTACCACAAAGAATACTCCCCTCTCGGAAAATTCCGGCTTCGAGGGCTTTGTGGACCCTCGAAGAATAATAGAATTTCGAGTGCCTCCTGAGGGCTTTTGCTCCTCGGAAAGCATCCGTGTGTGTGTGTGTCGCCAGCATGTGGCCATATCCCCAGCCATAAGCATAAGCAAAGCAAAGCAGAGCAGAGGCAAAACGATATACTATCCAGGACCTGGTTTGTTTGCTTTGTAACCCAATTTCAGTGCTGCCAGCGACGGCAGTGCTGCGGCTGCTCTGGCGGCGCGGCGCGGCCCGTGACGTCGCCGATTTGCTGTAGCATAGTTTGTTGAACTTTTGTCAGGGCACGAACAATGGTGGGGACACCACCACCAACAATAACAACAACAAAAAACAACAGAAATTAACTGTTCACGCCCCTTTCCTCTTGCCTCCTTTTGTTTTTATTTTTGTTTCGTTTTTTTTTTGTGTTGTGTTGCCCTGCACTTTGGTTTCGTGCTCGTTTCGGTTTCATTCGTTTGCCTGCTGACGTCATCGAACGCGGTGGCCTAAAAGCATGCAACACTTTTTTTTCGTTGTTGGTTTTTTTGTTCCCCATATCCTGGCCAACTTTTACCAAACTTTTATGGTCATGTTTAAGCTGAAAGCACAGGACATAAAATATTTATTTAAAAGTGAATAAAAATCATAATTCAATTATAACCCGATAGTATTTTTTTAAATTAGATTTTAGTATTTGTTTGAAAGGTTTTTTTATGTAAAATAAACCAGAACCCTTGTTCATCTTAACAAAAGTGTATTAAATGGATATTTGTTTGCTATTTCGTATCGTTTTTGTGAAAAATGAAATGCCATTGGTATTTCCCTTTTGGTATTTTTGCTCAGATGCATCAATCTTGTTTGGTTTGGCATGTTTTTCTCTTCGATTTCCAAAGCTTCTCGGTTACCATTTTCTGTTGCAAATGTGATGTGTATATTGGATGTGTATGTGTGTGTGTGGCATGCATCAGAACTAAAGCTAGCCAAGAATAATACCTCGTTTTGCTCTGTCCATTCTTTCTACGTTTCCACCCCTCACCAGATGCGGCTTCATGTACGGCGAGCTGACAGACAAGGAGACGGTGGGACGGCTGGAGTATACGCTGGAGAACCAGCAACAGGATCAGTTCGAGATTCTCCTCTACAAGAAGAACAGTAAGTAACGAAAACAAATCTTACTTATAGTTTTACAAAGGGTAGAAGTATAATAGAACTTTAAAACCTTTAAAAAACCCCTTATTGCCTAGAACCTTTATTAAATGGTATGCTTTAGATGTGCCTTTTGCTTCTAAATGGTTCATTCTGAGAGACCTTCATAATTCATTTGAAAGCAACCCCTTTCATGGTAATGGGATTTTTGTTTTTTTTTTGGGAGGGTGGGTGCGATGATGATGATGCCCATCAATCAAGCTGCCAAGCTGCCAGGCCCCAGACACCTGTAATGCTATCCATCCAAGCCAAATCAAGTGAAAGTCGAGTCGCCAGTAGAACAGTGTATTGCCAGACCTATCCGACTTTGTCCCACTCTTGTGAATTAACGCCTACGAGTATCAATTTTCAGATTTGCAATGTGGCTGCGCCCTATCGCAGTTTGGCAAGGCACAAACCCAAGGTGAGGGCCATACACGTTTACCTTCATCCAACTTGGCAGTCTGCCCGCAGCTAAACAGCCAGGAGGAACCTTCCAGCAAACTTCCTGTTGCATGAGTGCTCGAGTGGGGGTGGTGCATTGCCACAGAATGTAAAACATCTGGAGAACTCAATTGAGTACAAGAAAAGAAATTGAATTCTAGGCAAAAATATTTGCTTGACTTTGGATTCGGGCCAAGGCGAAATAATATACGAGCCATAAAAACTGCAAAAAACAAAAGCCAAAAAAAAAAAAAAAACTAACACGAATCTGCGAGAAATTGAGCAAATTGAATGAAAACGGTGATGACAGGAGGTTATCGGGTGGAGAGGGGGGTCAGAGGCTAAAACCAATAAATCTATTCAATTTCATTCAATCGCTTCGGCGTCAGCGTAAACAGAAATAGAAATACTATAGAATTAGAAATAGAAACCTGGTAACAGGAGAGCCGTGACAGGAATCCAAACCAAAAGCAAAATCAACAGAAAGGCAAAATCAGGAGCACACACACATAAATATTTACCGGAAACGGAAGCAGCAAATTGCGCTTGCAATTAGTGAATAATTATCCCTTCCAATACACACACACACGCTCACAAATACATACCCAGATACTCGTATATGTATACGTTGACAAACAAACAGCCCGGAGAGTCCTTGACCAGTGATAATTGAGCGGCAATTATTACATTCGAAAACAGTAGACGACAAAAATATAACAAATCAGTAAAAAAAATATACAATCAATAAATTAAGGCATTAAATTCCCTTAAAATTAAATCATTCAATTTATGCACATAATAATTATGTGGCATGTCTTGAAGAGTAACTTTTTTTTAAGAGAAAAACTCCAGCTGTTGCATGGGTTGCATATGAAACGCACTGTATACTGTACGTAATTTACATGTGCCGACCATTGTCTGGATATTGGAGTATTCACAATCCCAACAGCATCCATTATCCAGCGTTCCATATCAATAATTGCAATCCAATGAAATGTTTGTGCTTCGGTGCTTTTGCCTCTGTCTGTTGTGACCTGAATGCGAATGGGGATTATAGGCGTCTATACGAATGTATGTATGTACGAGCATATCTATCGTTAGTGCCAAGCGAGTTCAATCGAGTGTGACCCAGTGTGTGGAGATGAAGGTGGAAGCGGATGCGTATACGGATGTGTATATGTGTATGTGTCGCAGCCCTTATCGCAATCAGCAGTAGCCCGTACTTATCGTTTAATTGTTATTAATTCCGCTCCACTTGCCCCTTTTCACAGAAACCCCGCTATGGCTGTTGCTGCAAGTGGCGCCCATCCGGAACGAACGGGACCTGGTGGTGCTGTTCCTGCTGACCTTCCGGGATATAACGGCCCTGAAGCAGCCCATCGACAGCGAAGATACCAAAGGAGGTAAGCTAATATTATATTAATATTATATTTTTTTAATTTAATAATACACACAATTGATATTTTGGCGCCCAATGTGAGGCGTATTACTAATGTGCAATGTTCTAAGTCTCTATCTTTTTTGCACTTTACTACTTAATGTATCTCCTTTCTCTTTTCATGTCTATATACACACACACTCACATACAAAAATATATAAACATATATGCACGCAAAATCCTACACACCTGTAAATACGCTTCAACAAATTGAAAACCAACAAAAATGTACCCCACAAACCAAAACCAAAACCAAACAATTCGATGTGCCAACACAACTCACTTTATAAATGCAATCATGTCTGTGACTATAATCTATTCACTATTTTAAATATACTTTTATTCACTTTATATCGGTGTTTGTGTTCGTGTTGCATCCTCGTAGCGGTTAATCTATTTTTGCCAGTTTTAGGTCTCTCGAAATTCGCCAAGTTGGCCCGCTCGGTGACGCGAAGTCGTCAGTTCAGCGCCCATCTGCCCACACTAAAGGATCCCACGAAACAGTCCAATCTGGCGCATGTAAGTCAAAAACTAATCCCAAGATAATCCTAAGCTATATCCTCTAATAATTTCATAGATGATGTCGCTGAGCGCGGACATCATGCCACAGTACAGACAGGAAGCGCCCAAGACCCCGCCACACATACTCCTGCATTATTGTGCATTTAAAGCAATTTGGGACTGGGTGATATTGTGTTTAACATTTTATACCGCCATCATGGTAAGTGAATAGTAATAGATTTACGATTTTTGCCAAAAAACCAGTTCATCCTGTCAGTTCATCCTGTCAGTATATTTGTTTGGTAGTAATTTATATTCATAACGTTGTTTTGGTTCCTAGGAAATATCCATTTGTTTCGCTCATTTACAAACAACATACATACTTTCTGACATGGGATCGTCTGGTTGGCGTAGTGATGGAGGGATTACTTATGGCATGGTGACTTTCATGGTGTCTCCACGTGCCGCAAAGCCACATGCGACGCCTTTTCATAAGCCGATGTGTCGCTTGTCTGCTCGAATTTGTGTCTATTTCCGTCAACAAGATGTTAACATTTACGCAGAACATGTTGCCATTCGTATATAGATTCGGATTCGGATTCTATCCATTTTGTGTCGAATCCTGCCCCTTCCAAATACAAGCCACCTCTTGGAAAAGTTGCACTTTCTTGTTTCGGTTTTCATGGAGACAACACACACACTTTTCGTTTACTTATTGTTTAATGACATTTTGCGGTATTTGTTGTTTTGTTGTTTGTTTTTGTTTTGTTGTTAGTTGTTGTTCTTGTTTGCGGATTGTGGCTGTTGCAACTTTAAGATAAATGGATAGCCCCCAACAAATCAAAACTTTTTCTGCAGCGGCAAATAAAAAGAAATGGGCCAAGACATAATGAAAAGTGATATTTGCAACCTAGTTTGGGGTCCTGCAGCCTTCTTATCTAGTCCTCTTAAAACCTGAATTAAAGCTAATAGATGTACTAAGTACCAGACAAGACAAGAACCATAAATTAGCCACATAATTAGACAGATACACGTGGTGATTCGGATTGAAAAGGTCTCGTGACTGAAGTGAAGAGTTCCTGCTCAGACATTAATGTTGACTCTTAGCCGCTGCTGATGAGGGCCCAGATGTAGAAGCAGGGCAGGGCTGGGAGGCAGACAAGTGCACACATTTACATGACCAAGTGGCTGCTCAGAGGCTGTCATCCCCTAACCGACATGCCGCCCATCCCCTGACTGCAGGACGGCTTATGTTTTATGTGCTTAAATTAATATGCTTGGTTGAAGGAGGCGGCGGAGGGAAGAACTTGACAGGACATAAGCAGCGGCATTCGTGGCTTGTAATCCAGCCTCGGTCCGGGCCAAGACGACGAGCCATGTTAAGAGGCTTGTAACTGCCACTTGGGGCATCAGTTAAGACAACACCAAATGGGGCAAAAACAAGCCAAATCCAGACAACTGTTGCTTAGCTATATACCACCTGTATCTCAAGCTATTAACGGGATTACCGATTAAGATCCTTAACGATTAACTATTATATTACTTTTATTTTCATTTTCAGGTGCCATACAATGTAGCGTTTAAAAATAAAACCTCAGAGGATGTTTCCCTGCTTGTGGTCGATTCAATAGTCGATGTTATATTCTTTATAGATATTGGTAAGTATTTTTTGATACATTTTTAAACATTATCATCTTAATTTTATTATAATTTCAGTTTTAAACTTCCATACAACGTTCGTGGGTCCTGGTGGCGAGGTGGTCAGCGATCCGAAAGTGATTCGGATGAACTACCTAAAGTCCTGGTTCATCATCGATCTGCTCAGCTGCCTGCCCTATGACGTGTTCAACGCGTTCGACCGGGACGAGGACGGGATCGGATCCCTGTTCAGTGCCCTCAAGGTGGTACGCCTGCTCCGGCTGGGTCGGGTAGTGCGCAAGCTGGACCGCTACCTGGAGTACGGAGCAGCCATGCTGATACTGCTACTGTGCTTCTACATGCTGGTGGCACACTGGCTGGCCTGCATCTGGTACTCGATCGGCAGGAGTGATGCCGACAATGGGGTAAGTCCCTAAACATCCTTCTGAAAGTTTCCTCAGAGCTTAGATCCTCTGTTTCAGATCCAATATAGCTGGCTGTGGAAACTGGCGAATGTAACCCAGTCCCCATACTCGTATATTTGGAGTAACGACACCGGGCCGGAATTAGTCAACGGGCCGTCGCGGAAAAGCATGTACGTGACGGCCCTATACTTCACCATGACCTGCATGACCTCGGTAAGCAGAGAATTGAAATTATATCCAACTTTTAAATCACTCCAATCTAAACTCTATACTTGATGGCTATCTTTTCTGTCCATTTCTGTTCTGTCTCTTTTTTTTCTGGTTTTTTTTTGTGAATTTTTCAGGTGGGCTTTGGCAATGTCGCCGCGGAGACAGACAACGAGAAGGTGTTCACCATCTGCATGATGATCATTGCAGGTGCTGTGTCCTTAACACGTTCCGTTGCCGCGTCCAATATCCTTGATATACCCGCACACGCGTCACGCTTTTGAATTCCGGTTCTCGATACCGAATACCATTTGAAAGCTAGGCCATTCGCTTGCGCCGCTAGAACTAATAAATCGCTCCAGTTTTTTTTAATTCAAATCTTCAGATTTTTTCTTTCTTGTGTAGAGCTTTTATTCGATCATTTCGATTAGACCACGATCCATTTGTCCAAGTAGAGCAACTCTCACTTAATTCACACCCACCCGTGTCTCCTCAGTCATTCAATCATTGATTGATCGCAGCCAAAAAAAAAAAAAGAGTCTCAAATCTCTTTCTCCACCTCCTTCTTCTGCTACGTCGTCATCTAGTTGCACAATTCTTCGCCATGTGTGAGTTGCATTGCGTATACCTCTCTCTACTCGTTATTCCTTAACCGTTACTCGTTGGCAGTAACTCGTTAAACCGAAATTCGTTATATTTGTGCTGTACTGTGTACATAATCATCAACAAAATCAGTCAAAACATTGAGTAGGTTTAGCTTTTCAGGCCATTTTGCATTGTAACATGTGTATATATTGGCTAATTGATTTCAAAGAAAAGGTAATCCTGCTCAGTGTAGTGCTCATTTCACTCGCCAGAAATCGCCATCTTTATCTCTGTCTCTGTCTAGTTATGTGCTCGTCCAAAAAAAAAAAAAAGAAAACAGTGGCATTTATTAATGTTCTAGCCGCGCACCTGTGCGTCTCTTCTTTCCACAGCGCGTAGAAAAAAAGCGATCACACTACTTCGATCACACACATCACATGCAAACTTCACTCGTACACGGAGAAAGAAATTAATCAACAAAAAAAATCAAATTTAATCAAATATTAGACTATAAAATAAGAGATTATATTTCTTTACTCCCGAAACATCTCAAGTGTTGTCTAGCTGATCGTGTAAAGTTGCTTTGAATGGAACCCCTCGACTACGAAACTCCAATTCTGTGTGCAATCGCTTCTTAATCTGTCTATCTTATAACGATATGTCTTTCCTTGTGTGATATAGCTCTGCTGTACGCCACGATCTTCGGACACGTGACCACCATCATCCAGCAGATGACCTCGGCCACGGCCAAGTACCACGATATGCTGAATAATGTCCGCGAGTTCATGAAACTCCACGAAGTGCCCAAGGCGCTGAGCGAACGCGTAATGGACTATGTCGTCTCCACCTGGGCCATGACCAAGGGCCTGGACACCGAAAAGGTAAGTTCATAGTGCGCCAGTGCACCAGTCATGGTAGCAATGTCCATGGTAGGAAACTCCAGATGGTTATCCAGGGAATGAGATTGCCGTTGAGTCTTTTTTTTGGTTGCCAGACAGCTTCTGAAAATTCATCGACAACAAAGATACATTCATTTCAGAATCCAGAATTATTTCAGCGGTTAACATTATTAGAAAATGATTTACATTCAATGTTTTTCTAAACTCCATTTCATAAATGCTTTTGTAAATAAAATTTTTAAATTTCAAACACGCGGACAGTGTGTCCTTGTACATAGATAGCTAATTTCAAGAGCTTGGAGCACTTCAGCCTATCACTATCTCTAATGCACTTGGCATACGCACACATACATACATGAAACATGAAACATTTAATCGTTACTCGTTACTAATTATTTACTCGCTACTAGTTACATCTCGTTGGAAACTATTTAATTTGATATTTTTCAAGAAAACTCCAAGAAAACATTGTTAATATCAATTATCTTGTAAATATTTTAATTGAAAGAAGATATTTAAAACTAATAATAAGAGCTTGGCTCTAAAATTCCGTTTTTTCCCACTTCGAAGCTTTCTTTACTCGCTCAATCGATCTTTCATTCGTCACTTATCACACGCTACTCGTTACTCGCTAAATCACTCGACTAACACTCTCGCTAAACACTTATACTTACAATACCACGAATAATACATACACCACACCACCTATTCTAACTCTTTCTATCTCCTCCACTCTCCGACAATAAAAAACTATTGGTCTCTACTCCTGCGCTTTGTTTTCCTATTATTTTAAAGCTACTACTCCTCGCATACCTAGGTCTAAGATAAAAAAAAAAAAAATAAAAATATTAAAGATAGAAAGGCCAACCACCCACCCACAGATTGAGGTGCAGGTAAGCTGTGGGTGGGCTGGGTAATGCGGAAGTTGTCATCTGTAGCCTTAAACATTTAACGAAATCATTATTGACATTTGAACCCAGCTAATCGATGATCTCTATCACACTCTCTCTATCTCTCTCTCTCTCTTTCTCTGCCCGTGAGCGAAATCCGTGCCAAAACGAAAAGCGTCCGTCAAATTCATGCCTTTAGATGAACCTGAACCAAACGGCGCAGCGTCCCCTGGTTTCCAGAAAAACTCCATCCAAATGAAACAAAAAAAATTCTAGAATCTGGTTCCATTTCCCCCATATATATTTCATTTCTACGATCAGGGGGCGATTGTGTCAAAAATTGATTGGAAATACAAGTTAAAGTTTGGTTCAAGAACAGAACAGAGTTTACAATAATGGTTTAATGCCACACTGCCCAGCCGAATAAACTGACCTTTATACCTATTTCGTTGACTGTAGTTTGTGCCGCAATTAGAGTCCCCAATGAACCTCCAAAAAACCACAAAAACCCCCCCAAAAAAACTGAGTGCAATATTCCTATTTCTCTAAAAGATACCGGAAGTAGCACTTACCATCACAATACACTACCACACACCCACACACACACACACAGTGACAGTCACAGCAACACAAGGACACTGGAAAACTTTAAAACACCGACACACACACACAGTGACACTCGATCAATGTTGTATGTGTATTAGTGTATGTGTGCGTGTGTGTGCGTGTCCAATGTTAGCCATACAAAGCTGAAGAACTGAAGAATTCTTCCTTCCCAGACAAAGATTCTGGCAGTAAAAAGATCCCCATTTATGATATATAGGGTTAGAGGGTTTAAATCGATTAAACCAAAGATAAAGACCATCAAACAAACCAATATTCGTCCATTCGATTCCATTCGAATCGAATAAAGTCGAACCACAATCGTTCACAATTCGCAGGTACTAAACTATTGTCCGAAAGATATGAAGGCTGACATATGTGTTCATCTAAATCGCAAAGTATTTAACGAGCATCCGGCATTTCGTCTGGCCTCGGATGGTTGTCTCCGGGCACTGGCGATGCACTTCATGATGTCGCACTCGGCGCCCGGTGATCTACTGTACCACACCGGCGAGAGCATCGATAGTTTATGCTTCATTGTGACTGGAAGTCTGGAGGTGATACAGGATGACGAGGTTGTGGCAATATTGGGTGAGTTAACCGGAATACCAATCGAATTAAGCTTAGCGAAGTTTATTTGAAAAAAAAAGAGAACTATCGATAGTTTCGATAAATATCGATAGCTCTTAGAAGTACTTAACCTCAAAACTGTTTACGACCCCAATTTGCTCCTTTTCTTGATTTCGTATCCATTTCAGGCAAGGGCGACGTCTTCGGCGATCAATTCTGGAAGGACTCGGCCGTTGGCCAGAGCGCGGCCAATGTGCGCGCCCTAACCTATTGTGATTTGCATGCCATCAAACGTGATAAATTGCTCGAAGTCCTCGATTTCTATTCGGCATTTGCGAATAGCTTTGCACGCAATCTGGTGCTCACCTACAATCTCAGACATCGACTGATTTTTCGCAAGGTGGCCGATGTGAAGCGCGAAAAAGAATTGGCCGAACGTCGTAAGAATGAGCCGCAATTGCCCCAGAATCAGGATCATCTTGTCCGGAAGATATTCTCCAAATTTCGTCGTACACCCCAAGTCCAAGCCGGCAGCAAGGAGCTGGTCGGCGGTTCTGGTCAGAGTGATGTCGAAAAAGGTGACGGCGAGGTCGAGCGCACCAAGGTGAGTGTGTGGGGCCAGGACACACCCCCCTGCTATATGCTGTCTATCTATCTATCTCTATGTATGTCTCTATATCTGTCTCGCTGTCTTTTCGTCAATGTCTTTGTTGCTGTGCATTCTGCTTTCCATGTTCGGTGTTCAATTTTCATGTTATGTTGTTATTGTTATTGGGTAGTTAAATTAATTTTATATTTATGTTAAATTAAAATCAAAAAATTTTATATCCATTCCACCGTATATGAATGACTTAAGTCGTCTAATATCGGTGCTATTGAAAGGCTAATAAAGAAAATTATACAAAAGCCTTGCTAGTCAGACATATTATGTGGAAAGGATAAATTAAAATAATTATTTTCGTAAAAAAAAATGTTATATTTTATGTTTTCTTCAAGCGGAGTCGAACCCGTGCTTCTGTTCCATTCTCATTTTGTTCCCCTAGTATATTTCACCGTTAACCGTTAACTAACGTTTCTTTCGAAGCCTCACAATAAAAAAAAAACCACCAAAAAAATATCTCACAGCTCCAGCCAGAGTCGAAAGTCCCCACAGGCGAAAAACCACAGGCACTGGCGCACTGGCCGGTGGGGCAAAGACAACTGTTTGCCGTTAACCGTTAGCGTTACCGTTACCGTTACCATTAACCGTTAACTGTTATCGTTAACCGTTTTAGCGTAGTTATTAATCGTTGAATTGCTTTATATACAATATATTATGGATATATATTATATACAACTGATCTGTATACAAAGTGACTTATGCTCGTTGTATGTCTTTCTTTGTCTTTGTCTTTCTTTAACATGCTTTCGCATAAAATGCATAAATAACTGTTCACCAATTCACCATATATGCCCTTCATTTCTCACCACACTCACCACACTTATACTCTGGCTTGTAATTCTTCGCTTTCTGTGTGTGTGTGTGTCTGTTTCTCTTCTGTGTTTCTTCTGGCTTTGTCTATACTTTCTTCTGTTTTCTTTCTTATTGTACAAAATTTATGTGAATTTGGCTTAAATTGAAAAATAAAAACAAATCTGTTTGTTAAAAAATTAAACAAAATTACTAACGGAAAAATCTGTATTATTTTCCCCTCCTTCTTTCCCCACCGAAACACATGGAACCGAACATCCTTATGTACCAATTCCTTTTGTCCCATTTCCAACACACTTCTCTTTCTTCTCTCTCTCTCTCTCTCTATCTATCTCTCTCTTCTGTCTATATATCTATCTCGCTCGCTGTCTTGCGCTCGAATTCAACCAAAAAAAAAATAATTAAATTTCGTAAATCGCCTGCCACTACTGCTTGCTACTAAAAAAATAAAATAAATTTAAATGTAAAAAAAAAATGCCTGCAACATATACAAGAAGCTACCAGCAAAACTGACACTTACCGAGGACGCTCGCATCCTAACCACCGCCGCCGCGCCCTCGCCATCGCCATCCCCCTCGCCCTCCTCGGGTCCACCATCTGCGCGCAGTACACGGGCCAGCAAGTGGGGACGCCTCCTGGGCAGTTCAAGCGTCGATTCAGCTAGCGACACCAGCGCCAAGGTAGCCGTCTCGAGAAGTTTGAGCGCCCGCGAAAGTCTCCGAGAGAGCACCGCCCAAGCGCGGCAGAGTAGTACTTCGAGTAGCAATGGTGGACAAGGCAACAAAGTAATTATCAGTTTAAATTTAAACAAAAAAAAAAAAACAATTAAAAACTTAATTCAAAATGGATGTATGGATGATCACCGATCAGCGAAAAATGAAAAGAAATCGATCTGCGATCTACCGTCGTTCGTCATTCCATAAAATATTCTAAAACATCAGACACAAAAAAATACATTACGTTGATGAGAAACAAAAAAAGGATTCTCGGATTTCAATTCGATATATATATTTTTTTTAATTTTATCAAGTTTCAGAAAAGGGTTTTCAAGTGAAAATTTTGAAAGGATAAACTAGAATCAGTTAAGAAATCTATCGAAAAAAAATCTTTAAAATTTTAAAAACTATTTCTTGAAAACCCTTTTTTTTTAAACTTATCCATAATCACACTAACCACAAAAAAAAAATACCAAAAATAACAAACAAACAAAATTAAAAAGAATTGTTTGTTTGTGTGTGTCTTTGGGTTTAAAATTATTTTAATAATAACTATTCTTTAACTCTCCTTTTTTTTATGCCTTTCATTTGCTCTTCTCACTTTTGATAAACATATACATATATTTATGTATATATCGATCATTTCGATGTTGATTATATTTTCGATTATCATTTCGTATTTTGAACTTTTTGAAACAATTGTGCAATCGAATTGAAAAGCATTTACAATTAAGCAAAGTAAGTTTTCGAACAATTAGTTTGATTTAAAGCTATTTTAGTTGGCTGTACCACACACACAAAAACTGGCACACGATCCACTGTTATCGGTTTGACAATCGATAGGCAAAATGAGCGGGCAGGTTATCGAACAACATAATGCTATTCTAGCTAGAGATTTAATTAGTATTTGTAATTTAGTGGCTAAATAATCTAACTAGCTTGCCCGCTTATGGACCGAATTTTTTTTTGAACTTAGAGACGCCCTCCGCACCCCACCCCTTGCCACGCCCTTAAAAGCAAAAAGCCTTTAGATTGTTTTTGATTGTTATAATTCCCAACTGAAAATTAAGATCCAACAATTAATTCATATTTTTTATATATTTTTTTTGTTGAATTTTTTCCCCACTCGCTCTCGCAACAAAAACTACTTCAAAAATTTTTGAAATCTGAATAACAAAAACAACAACAACAAACATTGCCTGCCTTGCTACCAACAACAAACAACAACAAACTCAAAATTTGTTTTAAAAAAACAAAAAATTGGAAAAAACCCAAACTGCAACTGCATCTAAAAATTGGAAAACCAAAAAAAACCAAAAATGAATGCACTTTTCTGCACCTGCCCTACAAAAAATCTACAATAATGCAATGAATGCTTCAACAACAACAACAAAAACAACGATTTAATGCAAAAACCAATAATTTGAAAACTAAACTTTGGAAAAAAAAAAACTGAAACACTTTTCTCACCTTTTTTTCCCCCAAAAAAAAAATATATGAAACCTGCAACCTGCAACCTGCCACCGCAAAACTGCCTGCCTCCTCTACCTCTCTCTCTCTTTCTCTCTCTCTGTATCTATCTCTATCTGCCTGTCTCTATCCCGCATTTTGCATCCGCATCCGCCCATCGTTCCATTAAAACGTCACCTGCAGGTTTTTCCCAAGGCGCCCAAACTGCAGGCCAGCCAGGCCACCCTGGCCCGCCAGGACACCATCGACGAAGGCGGCGAGGTGGACTCCTCACCGCCCAGTCGCGATAGTCGTGTGGTCATCGAAGGAGCCACCGGAGCTGCAGGTGGAGGTGGCAGTGGCACAGCAGCAGCAGCAGGTGGAGGAGGAGCTGGAGCAGCGGGTAGTGGAGCGCCCCAAGGGGCAGCAGCCAGTTCATCGTCAGGCGCCGGCACAGGAGGAGCGGCTGGCGAACGAAATCTGGCCCTGGAAAGGGAGCGACAAATCGAAATGGCCAGCTCCAGGGCCACCACCTCCGACACCTATGACACGGGTCTCAGGGAGACGCCACCAACGCTGGCACAACGCGATCTCATCGCCACCGTGCTGGACATGAAAGTGGACGTGCGACTGGAACTGCAGCGAATGCAGCAGCGGATCGGGCGCATCGAAGATCTGCTGGGTGAGCTGGTGAAGAGATTGGGAACGGGCAGTGGTGGTGGTCCGACTGCGCCGGATAGCAGTGGCCAGACAACGCCCGGTGATGAGATTTGTGCCGGTTGTGGTGCAAGCGGAGGAGCGGGAGCGGGAGCTGGAGCAGGTACACCAACTGCACCCTCGGTGGTGACCACACCAGTGGACACTGTGATAACCATCTCATCGCCCGGAGCAACAGCAACGGCAGCTGGCGCTGGCGGCAGCGGTCTGCTAAATCCCGGCGCCCCAGTTGTGTCGAGCGCGGGAGGCAACGGCCTGGGGCCGCTGATGCTCAAGAAGCGACGCTCGAAGAGCAGGAAAGCACCGGCGCCTCCTAAGCAGACACTCGCCTCGACGGCCGGCACCGCGACCGCAGCTCCCACGGGCGTCGCCGGATCTGGCATGACAACGACGACGCCAGCGTCGGCAGCGCCAACATCAGGAGCGGCAGCGGATCAGCAGCAGCCGGAAGCCTCATCTCCGACTTCGGCCCCTCCGCCAGCGGTGGAGTTGCTGCATTTGCGTCTCCTCGAAGAAGACTTTACGGCAGCCCAAATGCCATCCACATCGGGAACGGGAGCACCGGTGAGCACCAGTCCCACGGCAGCTACCACGCCCACACCGCCGCCGGGCAGTGGCAGTGGCACGCCCACAACCACGCCCACAGGCAGCGGGCCGAGAAGCTCCAAGCGGGAGTTCCTCTAGCCCACGATACCAGAGTTACCGGAGAGGAGGAGCAGTGGCCGCCAACAGGAGCAATAATACAAAGGAGCAGCTAAAGCAGCAGATGGAGGAGGAGTAGGGGTCCAGCCACGCCCACTCGCAAGCCTACGCCTACGCTTAGTTAGTCTATTACATTATAAGATACAGCCTGTAACCTCAAAAATCTCAAGAAAAGTAACACATACTCTGATCCGAAGAGTCCAATGCAAGATATGATTCCATCAACCGCAAGTTAAGCTTTCCCATGAAAAAAAATCCGTATTTTATTTGAGAATTTGAAAAACTCGAGAGATCTTTTGAAACTCCAACTCAAATTCTCAAAAAACTTTCAAAAAAATATTCAAGTTTCGAACTATAACCAAGGATGGTGGAAAAATATATTGCAATGGAAAGAGATTTAAAAAAAAAAAGAACGAACTATCTTTTACGCTAAAAAAAACAAGCTCTATAAAAGCTATCCCTCTCTTCTTCTCACACACACACACACATAAACACTAACACAGACAAACACACACACACACACTCTGAATGGAAGTGCTCGATACTCGATATTCGATACTCTAACCGTTATATGATTATGATTACGATAGCATTAGCGATAAACGATAAATATTAAGGCAAGCATATTGCTTACGAATTTGCTACATTTACTGCAATTATTTACAGATATATATATATGTATATACATATATATATACAAAGGACATCCATACACACACACAAACACTCAAACACAGATACAGATACAGACAAAAACACAGATATAGCTATATGTAAATATGGATAATTTTGTGATAACTGCTAAAAGGTGGCAAAAAACCAGAAAATGCTTACAACCAACAACCAACAGAGACCGATCGAAATAATGCCCGTGAATTGTATATAGCCTATAATTGTAGAAAAGGATCTATTATAGAGATCATCAAACCACACATAGACAGACACAATCGATAGGAAAGTCACCGATAGATATATCTTTTGGAGATGGGAGCTTGCTGAGAGATGACTCATAACATGGCTAACAATTAGTTGAAATGTACAGAGACACACACATTTTCACACAGATATGGATATTAACCCGTCCTAAACTAAAAACAAAATACTAAAAAAAAACTAAACTTAACGAAACTCAATGCGGCTTGAGCACTTCGCACTCGCACTCGCTTGGCTCCCTATATTACATATATTTTTTAGGCTAAATAGACTCGGATGGAAACTCAACCTAAAAAACCAAACCAATAGTTAACTCAGCAACACAGTAAAGTCTAAGTAAGGTGGCAGGTTAGAGCTAGAACTATAGTATGAGGCCGCTAAACGAAACGACAATCGACAGATCTAAGGATACAAAAAAAAAAAACCAGAAACAGAATAGAAAAAATATTAAAATATAGATAAAAAATAAAAGAAAAGACAAACCATAGCAAAAGTAAAATCTCTAGCAAATATCAAAAAAAAAAAAAAGATTGATTTGTTGGATCATTGTAAATAATTTAATTCAAAAATTTAGAAAAGGATATGTTACTCACACATGCTCACAAACATTACACTACACACACACATACACATATTTTGTGATAAAAAATGAAATTAGCTAAAACCAAAACCAATTGAAACCGAAAAGAAAAACCCAAAAAAAAAATATTAGTAACAAAAATTACCATTAGATAATTGTTTATGCTGGCATTTTGAAAGGCTTGCACTTGGCATATATATTATATAGTTTATACCAGAGTCCTCCGAGATGGACAAGAAGTATGTGTATGTATGTAGGAAAGTGTTGTTAGAACCGTGCTGAATACCGTACTCTCTATAGCATATATATATATTGTATCGGCTATAAGTAGAGGATCGTGTCCTGGGCAGCTTAGAGGCAAGGTTTCATTATGTTTAAGAATCAGTTAAAGTCCACTTGAATATCGTTCAGTTACATGTTTTTTCGATTCGCCTAGTTGGATATATATATATATATTTGATATTTGATACTTATAGTGTGTAGAAATCCGGGGCAGATCCCGCCATTAGCAATACACTAAATATGTACTGTCTTCCAGCAAAAGCTGTACAGTAGAGGAGTTTTGGGGGTTTTTGGGGGGTTTTGGGTTTACAAAAAAGTGGGCGGGACTGTCTCCCAAAAAAAAAGAAAAGAAAAACAATTATAATAATAATGAAACATAAAGAAAGTTACTTAGTTCTAGATTGTAGATTTTTTCGATTCCCATTCCCATTTGGGAGCCCCGGAGGGTCCTCTCGTCAAACCAAAAAGCAATTCAAGTGGTATTAAAACTAAAACACACACAATATACACAATAAACACACGTAACACTCACCTACACTCACATACACTTAAGCATATACGTATTTCCAATACTCTACAATGAATCAAAAAGTTAAAAGGATAGCGAACGAAAATTTGTTGCATACGTTTAGGCGCTAATTTCTAGTTGAAAGTTTAACGAATGTAGCTGGCTCACTGTAAATAGTTTTTTTTTATATAAATATAAATATAAATAAAAATTTGAATGAATATAAATATAAAGATAAATTATATATAGAGTTTAGGCAACTGAAGAGTAACGCACTAGGGCCAGAAAAGGTAAAACCAAAGAGTAAGAAATTCTAAAAAGGTTATATCAAAGTTTTTAGATTGTTTTCCAAAATACTTTCCACATTATACTCAGATGAAGCACTGATACATAATACTAGCAGAGCAGAGTTACCTATAGCCTAGTAATCAAATTGGTTTTAACATTGTTTCCTCTCGTTAATTTCTCGATTTTTTGCTTCCAACAAAAAAAAACTCCATATTCCATTTTGTTTTTAGATCTTAACTACACAGAGCCTTATAAATATAACCTTAAAGTAACTAAAACAGCATTCAACTAGCAACTCAAATCGAAACACTAAAATTTAGAGATAGAGCATTAAAAAAAAAGCGAACTACAAAAAATAACTAAAAACGAAATTTAAGAAAGGTGCAATTACAAATTTTAGATCAGAGCTGTATATACATACGAGGAATTGCAAATGTCACACTCATAATTGATTAATCGAATGTATATACACCCCAGGTAACAAAAATACAACCAAACAAATACAAAAATAAGACACACATCCTCACCAGAAATGTATGCTATTGGTGATGTTCTGGCCTTCGATTTCGCCCAGAAAACGCCCGATTCAGTCTGATATTTATATATATAGATCGCCAGGCAACAAAACAAAAAAAGGCTCGAGAAATTCGCTGATTGGCGCCAAAGAAACTGATAAAACCATATTAATATTATATATACAATATACATATGTATATATAGATATATATGTAAATGTATATAATGCTTATACATAAAAAGTATGTGTATGGGTACCTCTAGTTACACATAGAAACGAGATAACGATAACGAGAACAAAATTAAGCTTTTATACGCCAGAATTTTTTTCTAAACAAATATTAATGAAAACCAACCTAAGTGACACTCAAGAGTATACATAAAAATACATAATTAATTCTTGCAAAACCAAAAAAAAAAGAAACAAAACAACTCAATTAACGAATACCGTATACAACGCCCTAAAGCGGAAAATGAAAAATAATTTAATTATATATAAATTATATACAATGATAGAGAAAAGCCTTAACCAAGAAAACACGCGCCTCATTTTCGTTATCCTTTAATAAATAAGACCCACTGCAATGCTAACAAAACAAATATATTAAAAAAAAAACCCTAAGCAAAAAAAAGTAATAAATGACAAAAAATACATACTACTGCTAACATAAAAACAATTACAAACAAAATATTTAGCATTATGCTCTAGACTTTAGACGAAAAAGAACCAAAATTTTACAACAAGAAGAATGAAGAACAAAACGCGTTAAAGCAATGTTGAACATTTTCCACCAATTTGAAAAGCAAACAACAAGAAAACCTAAAAAACTGATGATTACTGAAACTTACTTCGTACATGCGCCCTTTGTTTAAACTAAAAAAAAAAACAAAATATTTAAAAAAAATCGAAAAGCTGCCTATTTATATATTTACAAACAAACAAACAACAAAAGAGCGAATTAACTACAAATTTAACAACCACAAAAAATACTACATATTGCAATCGCAACATTCCAATAAAACAAAAAAAAATAAAAAACAAAATTAAAAACCAAAATTAATAGTAATATGTATAAAAACAAAAAATAGTTTCAAATCAATTGAGTTTTGCGTTTTTACATAACGCCCTCCCCTACCCCAAAAAAAAAAAAACTTAGAAAAATGACATCAAGCAAGAAAAACAAAATGGCTTTGCTGTGCAGATTTACCGTTATATATATATATACAAACAAAACCATATATATATGTATATATACAGGTAGTTTATACCATTTGAAAAGCTTGCTATAGGGCTCGTCTTTGGGCCAAAGAAATTACCAAACAAGCCGCAAAAAAATATGAACAAATAAACAGAAATAGTTGTAATATTTATTTGAGAATTGCTGGATTAATGCCTAACAGTTAATGTGTATAGTTAATTGATTATTGCCACATTCGACCCACACACACAAACACACAGAAACACCTTAAGGAATCAGTACACAGACAGGCTATACACCATGTTTGAGGTTTTAGAATGGATCGATTGAATACGGAAACAGAAACCAGAACTAAAATGAAACTAAAAAGAAAGCAATTTTCAGAAAGCGCTGAGCAGATGCTAAGACACAATAAATGAAAGAAACAAAAAAAAAAAAGAAAAAATACATACATAAATGTTTTTAAAAAAATTTTACACGATTTTATTATTCATTTGGGTAAAAGGATCACCAGGTAAGTATGAAATGCACTTACTTTAATTCACATATAATCTTCCGATCCTCATTTTTGTGGGGGTACAATTAAAACAAGAACAATTTCGAAAAAATGTGGGTTTTCGAATTTTTTCCTAGGGGTACCCCTGAAAAAATGTGGGTTTTCGCAAATTCCCCACTTTTGCTCCTTCCGATGGCCATAGCTCTGCCAATTCTTATCCGATCAGGAAATAAAGTACCATTTAGTAATCAGCGAACCCTGAAGCTACTTTCTTCATTCAAAACATTGCCTAAATATCGTTTTGAAATTTTTCGAATTTTTTCCTAGGGGTACCCCTGAAAAAATGTGGGTTTTCGCAATTTCCCCACTTTTGCTCCTTCCGATGGCCATAGCTCTGCCAATTCTTATCCGATCAGGAAATAAAGTACCATTTAGTAATCAGCGAACCCAGAAGCTACTTTCCTCATTCAAAACATTGCCTAAATATCGTTTTGAAATTTTTCGAATTTTTTCCTAGGGGTACCCCTGAAAAAATGTGGGTTTTCGCAATTTCCCCACTTTTGCTCCTTCCGATGGCCATAGCTCTGCCAATTCTTATCCGATCAGGAAATAAAGTACCATTTAGTAATCAGCGAACCCAGAAGCTACTTTCCTTATTCCAAATATTGCCTAAATGTGGTTTTGAAATTTTTCGAATTTTTCCTAGGGGTACCCCTGAAAAAATGTGGGTTTTCGCAATTTCCCCACTTTTGCTCCTTCCGATGGCCATAGCTCTGCCAATTCTTATCCGATCAGGAAATAAAGTACCATTTAGTAATCAGCGAACCCAGAAGCTACTTTCCTTATTCCGAATATTGCCTAAATGTGGTTTTGAAATTTTTCGAATTTTTTCCTAGGGGTACCCCTGAAAAAATGTGGGTTTTCGCAATTTCCCCACTTTTGCTCCTTCCGATGGCCATAGCTCTGCCAATTCTTATCCGATCAGGAAATAAAGTACCATTTAGTAATCAGCGAACCCAGAAGCTACTTTCCTTATTCCAAATATTGCCTAAATGTGGTTTTGAAATTTTTCGAATTTTTTCCTAGGGGTACCCCTGAAAAAATGTGGGTTTTCGCAATTTCCCCACTTTTGCTCCTTCCGATGGCCATAGCTCTGCCAATTCTTATCCGATCAGGAAATAAAGTACCATTTAGTAATCAGCGAACCCAGAAGCTACTTTCCTTATTCCAAATATTGCCTAAATGTGGTTTTGAAATTTTTCGAATTTTTTCCTAGGGGTACCCCTGAAAAAATGTGGGTTTTCGCAATTTCCCCACTTTTGCTCCTTCCGATGGCCATAGCTCTGCCAATTCTTATCCGATCAGGAAATAAAGTACCATTTAGTAATCAGCGAACCCAGAAGCTACTTTCCTTATTCCAAATATTGCCTAAATGTGGTTTTGAAATTTTTCGAATTTTTTCCTAGGGGTACCCCTGAAAAAATGTGGGTTTTCGCGATTTCCCCACTTTTGCTCCTTCCGATGGCCATAGCTCTGCCAATTCTTATCCGATCAGGAAATAAAGTACCATTTAGGATTCAGCGAACCCAGAAGCTACTTTCCTCATTCAAAACCTTGCTTAAATGTGGTTTTTGAATTTTTCCCATCATAAAAAAGATTTGATTACATTCAGAATTGATTCTTTATTGCATCCTTCTCGCTCTTCTCGATCATAATAAATATATTTTAGTTATTTTGCATTTAATAATGTATATATATAAATATCGCATAATGTGCCTCTGTTCGTGGAGTGTAAGAAAGGGTGAGGAGGGGAAAGAACAAGGCTAAGGACATTAAAGAGGGTGAGGGATGTGAAAGGACTAGAACCAGAGCTTGCAGAGCTGGGGGATGATTATGTACACATACTTCTTGCCTCCGGATATTGTACATGAAATAATATCAGTATCAATATTAATATCAATATAAATATAAATTATTTAATACACATATATATATATATTTTTATAAAAAAATGTGTGAGTTTGATTTCAATTCGCATTTTGCTTGGGAGATTCGCGTGTTAAAAACAATATTGCCCGTGGAAAGAATATGCTAATATGCTATTTTCTAATCTCGTTTTAAATTTTTCTCATTTTTCGTCCAATATCTACTAGCCTAGAAAATATCTATAACCGCGTCCGATTTAATATTTTTTCTCCGATGAGTTAATGGAATGTCAGGAAGGATTACGATTCCTTTACAGGTATGTCTGGGAGTCGTCGGAGAGTGACCATAGACCCATCCAGGTGGGTGGTGACACCTCCTCCTCGTCGTCATCATCGTCGTCGTCCTCCTCCTCGTCGTCGACCTCGTCCTTGTGATCCTTGGATCTTAGTCCTGCATGTGGCTAAAATGTTTGGGCATTGCGGCAAACACCGCAGCCCAGGGCGAACTCCTCGCCGGTGGGCGGATGCATCACATGGAGCGGGCACTCGTCGCCCAGCAGCTGCTTGGCCTTGGGTCCGGCCGGGCATTGGGGCAGCTTCACCTTGGGTATGTTTGTCAGCCGCTGGAAGTCGTCGTGGCAGGTGTCGCAAAAGTGGGTCGTTCCAAAGCAAAAGAAGACCGCCACCGAGCAGCAGTAGCGGCACTTGTACTCCAGGAAATCGGTGCCATGTTTCGGACACATCTGAGCCCGGGCCACATCCGAACAGCCGCCGCACACGAGCTCCTCCGGATCGAATTTCTCGCCAATTTCCGCATCGCATCGAGCCTCGCCGCCGTAGTAGGCCTTCTGGCATTTAAAGCAAACATAGTAGGCATACCGATCCATGGCCAGTTGGGTCATGTTGATGTCCTTGCTTTCCGTGTCCTTGACCACGCCCTCGTACTTGATTCTGCGCAACAAGTTACAAGTTTAGACTTTAAAGTTAGGATATTGTTTCAAAAATCTTACCTCATCAGGGCCTTTCGCTTTACGTCCTGCTTTAGGGAGTTGATGGGCTCCAGGATATCGGCCAGCAGAGGATGCTGAATGTCCGCCTTGCAAATGGGACACAACGAGAAGCCGAAGGTGATGCGTGGGCCACTCCAGCGCTTCTCCAGCACCGCCTTGCAACAATGGTAGTGGAACACATGACCACATTCCAGCTGTTAAGGATGGGTAACTTCAATAAAGGATCTACCAAAAATCTGACAAGACTTACATGTATGGCGGGAGCACAGGAGACTGCTTCCACAAAGCATATCATGCACATGTCATCCGCATCTTGGGTGAGCTTCGGATCCCTCAACTCCTCCGCCAGTTCGTTCTCCCTGGCATGGCATACGTGTTGCAAGCACGGCAGGCACTTTCGCTCTCCGGCCACGCCTCCACAGGCATGTCCACAGGGCTTCGTCTTTAGGCAGGAATTGGCCGCATACTCCTGGCACTGGGCATCCGCGCACACATTTCCAATCTCCAGCAGACCAGAATCGCCGGTAAGGCCACAGAATCGACACCGACCCACTGCCTCCTGGGGTCCCGAGATGATGGTGTGGCTGCCATCCCGGAACTCCACCATAGCTTTGAGGGTTTTGGAATCCGCCAGGGCCAGCAGCCAGAAGAGCTTAGTCCGACCGCAGGATTCGTGCAGCTCCACTCTTATGGCCTCCTCCTCTTCCTTGCAGACCTGGGAAACAGATATAGTTCATTGATGTCCTTTAAAGGACTCTTTGAAGGACAACTCACCGTTCTTTTGTGGGTTCTCGTCTTGCGATTCAAGTGCAGAAAGCGATCACAGTCGCCGCACAAGGATCCACAGGTTTCGCACTGAATGATGGCCGCCGTCTCCCCATCGTCGTGGTTGCTACACAACGGCCGAGTGTCGCACAGCTTGGACCATTGTCCTGAGGATAGCTTCTCCACATGGTCTCGCTCCAGCACACACAAGCTGGCCAGAGCCAGCCAGAGAGTGGCCGTCTTGGTGCAGTGCTCCGGCGTGCGATAGATCTCCTCCAGGCGGGTCAGATTCAGAACGGACTCGGCAATGGCTGCCTTGGTGATTTGGGACCACTTTTCGCTTAGCTTTCCCTAGACATTATTTTTAATTTTAATTTTAATTTATTTTTAATTAGTATCACTACTTACGCTGGCCAGGTCCCGGATTAGTCCGATAATGCTCTCTGCCTGCTTGGTGGAGATCACACCGTTGAGGAACCATCGCTGATTGAGATTCCGTTTGGACTCTTTACGCGGCACTGGTGGCACTGCCTCGAACTGGAAGGGATCGGTGGTTGCGGTGTGCTCGCCAGTTGGCGGTCTGGATGATCGCTGGAGCTGTTGCACGGAAAGATCCAGAGAACTGCAGAGTCGCACAAACGCCGGAGTCTTCTCCTGCTGTCCTGCTTTGAGGGCGGATGACCCTGCACCTCCGGCTCCAGTTGCTCCTCCTCCGGAGCCCGCTGTTGTCTTCACTTTAACCTGCAGCTGCAGAGACTTGGCTATCACGGCCAGGAATATATCGAGGATCCCCAGGCGGCTCATGTCGAAATCACTGGCACTCTGATGGGCGATGCTGTAGTCCGCCGGCGGCAGACGCTGCACACCCAACAGATCCGCGAAGCTTTCCGGTGTGATCTCCGGCAGGATGCGACGTAGTAGCGCCGTCACCTGACGCTGCACCCGATCGCTTCCGGTGTGCAGGAGGCCCAGAAGATCGCGGAGCAACCCGTGCTGCTGGGATAGGTACGAGCGACCCACAACGCTGCCGGATAGGGCCAGAACCATGCTTAACATTTCGAAGCAATAGGTATCCGGAGCTCGGCTTCGTTCCGGAGTACTTTCGGCACTGGCTGGGGCCGGATTGGGGGCAGGTGCTTGCAGGGCCTGTGGTGGCTGCTTGAGGACGTGCGCCAGATTGGCCAGCTCCCAGTCCTCCTTAGCTCGTTGTGCCTCCTTCCTAATGGCATGGACGATGTGCACGATGACCTGTTTCTGGAGATGCGAAAGCTTGCTCCTGGAGAACAGTATGCCCACCATATGCTCCCGCAGGTCCAGAGAGTCTGCCAGCAGGGAGCTACTATTGGTGGCGCCAGCACTGCTGGGCGGCACTAGACCCGCGGAGTCCGGTGGCACCAAATCCGAGCCCACGTTGCTGATTAATTTCCCAAAGACCTGACCCGTTATCAGCCGGAAAACCCTCAAGGTTTCCGCTTCACAGATCTGCTGCTGGATGCGGGCGGCATGGCTCAAGCGCAGATGGGGCTGCTGGTGATGATGGTGGCCGGCATGGTGCTTGTGATCCTCCTCTGGGACACCACTGGCTCCACTGCCCGTGGGCATGCCAAGCAACTTGATTTGACGCACTCGCAGCGTATTCTCCGGGCCGTGCAGCTCCAAGCGGAAGTGGGTGCAGGTATCGTCGCTTATCTTGGCCGAGATCCAGGAGCAGGCCTTGGGATCCACATCCACGGACTTGAGCACATTGGTATCGCCCAGGGATTGCCCAGCATAGAAAACCACGTTGAGGACTTTGTTCTGGAAATGGAATAGATTATGGGGTTAGTAAAGGACCTTTTTGGACCCAATCCTCCCAAGACTCACCTGTATATCCCTGCTATTATCGATGTGGACCAACAAATACCGACAGGCATAGTTCAGCTTCGTCAGGGACAGCTCGATGATCTTGCACTTGTTTCTGTCCTCCTCGTCGCTCTCCCAAAACGTTTCCGTTGAGTTGTCGGTCAGGGATTCGGCCATCGCTGGACGCGAGGAGACAGTGACCTCGAACATGCCGCCCAGATCCGTGTAGCACAGCACCCGGGCTCCGGCTCCAGTGGCTCCTGCTGGCGCCAAGCTAACCTGATTGTGCTCCGCATCGCAGTGATTCTCCGCCTTCAGGATGTTGGACACCGCCATCGCGTCGTTCTGTTCGTCCGACTTTGACAGTATCTTCGATATATTCCCAAAGACATGGGAGCTGTGCAGGAACTGGTGATCGGCCTGCCGGAAACGGATGCCAAAGCACTGGATCGCCACGCGCTGCAGCGGAGAGCCCAGGGGCAGGTGCAGCGTTAGATCCGCCACGGATTGGAGGAGTACGTGCAGGGATTGGGTGATCAGATGGGCGAACTTGCCACTGATCTGGGTGTAGGCCACGGGATGTTCCAGGGCGGGCTCCGAAGACTCTTCTGGCAGCCTGCTGCTGCCCTCCGGGGTGTGACCTCCACCGCCGGCGGTGGCCAGTGAACTGACGAACCACCACATTAGATCGTGCAGGCACACGCCCTGGGTGACGCTTCTCAGCAGCCAGTTGAGGGCCTGGAGGGCATATATGCGACAGGCGGCTATCCGGAGACTCCGTTTCATGGCAGCCCTCAGCCTGTCCAGCTCGTGCTTCTGGGTGATGAACGCCATGGCCGGGCGGGTCAGCAACTGGCTGCCCTCCTGCGACACGGGGTGATCCTTGCCAGAAACCTCAGCAGCCGATGTTGCTGCTGCTGCTGTGGTTGCTGCCACGGCTGCCGCTGCTTGCTGCAACACCGAAACACTGGCCAGTAGTTTCTGGGGCACCAGGCGCCGCAAATGCTCCGAAGGATAGCAGATCAGCAGGGAGCCATCGCCCTCGCTGGTGGAGTTGTTCCTACGCCGATAAACCACCTTGGGCTGGCCCTCCAGCAGAGGCTGTTGCTGGTGCTGGAGTTGCAGGTGCATCTGCTGCTGCTGCTGTTGCTGGGGCGCATACGGCGGAGCAGGTGGCGTCTGCTGCGGATGGTGACTCATCTGCTGATGCTGCTGCTGCGCCAGTGCCGCCCATCCCTGACCCATGGAGTAGCTGCGATGGAACTTGGACAGGTTGCCGCCGGCACTGACAGACGAGCCAGCACCTCCTCCAGCCGCTAGAGATCCGGAGAGCATGTCAAAGTTGTTGGGTTCGCAGGATTCGTAGGAGATCTCCGACAGGGGCTGTTCCAAAATGGAAACATAAATAAAATAATAAAATTAATTCATTTTTTCTTAAAACTCACCCTGTCGTATCCATTGTCATTGGAGTTGGGACCCAAACCGAACATCTCGTAGGGCAGATCCTCGTGCCCGGCCGTGCCCAGGCACTCCAGGCAGGCAAAGCTTTCCGGCGCCAGCCACACGTTCTCCGGCGTCGCTGGCGGTGCTCCCACGAAACTCTTCCGGAAAGCCCCACCGACCGGACAGAACTTGCTGCCACTCAGCCGGGCCATCCGGCTGCACCGACTGGTGCTCGGCTTGAGGTCCGAGTTGCCCAGCTGGGAGTGATGGTGTTCAATGACCACGGGCATGCCGGCGGACATCTGTTGTGGTGATCGCTTGCTTCCGCTTCCCGTAACAGATGCGGGACCGATACCAGCGCCCGATCCGGTCACCGTCGCCGAGCTGGAACTGGAGCAGAGCTCCAGCAGGAAGGTGGCATTCTCCCGCATGGTGGTGTACACTTCGGCATTGGCTATCAGGGTTGTGGACTTTACGCCGAAGAGATTCAGTTCGTTGCCTAGAATGGCAAGAAAGATTAGAATCGGAATAGAAGAGACTAGACTCTAGAGACTCCAGAGGCACTCACCTTCTGTGGCCAGAGACTCCTGCTGGCGGGCCGAGCTGTTGATGTTGTTGACGCTGCGACAGGACGATAGATACCGATCCCGGCAGGGATCACACATCAAGAACCAGGACGAGGCCCCCTTGCCGCCCTCGCCACAGTTGCCGGCCCAGCCCTCGCAGAAAATGCCCACGGAGTTGTAGCCCTTGCCCTTGGCCGACTTGCCGCATCCGGGATGGGCGATCCGCATGTGATAGGTGACCGGCATGGGCAGGAACAGTTCACAGATCTCGCACCAGCTGCCGTCGTCCTTCTTCTTCCGCTTGCACTTTCGGCCCAGCTCCTTCTCGTTATTGGCGCCGTGATCGCTTCCCGACTTGCCCTCCTTGGAGTCGGTTTCCCCGTCGCCACCATTCGTGTCCCGACTTCCGCCGGGCGAGAGCAGACGCGGCTCCCGCTGCTCCAGGGCATTGGACTGGACTATCTGGACACAGCCGGAACATATCTGTTCCCAGAGATAGACCAGACAGCGCAGTGCTGGCGGCAGGACACTCACAACTTCCGGCAGAGCCTGCAGTTTCTGGGCGGGATCCTCGCCGCCCTGATTGAGCAAGTTCTTCCGGTGCTTGCTCCGATTGTGCAGCGAACAGTTGCCGCTCTTGGTGAGCGTCTCCAGGGTGGATGGTCGGATGTTTAGGTAGTTACCGGCATTGGCCACCTCGACGGAGTGCCTCTGCTGGGCCTTTTGTTCCCTCGATAGCTGCAGACGGGCATCTCCGCCCTCGCCGCGCCGTGTTACCACGGTGGCGCCTTCTTTGGGCAGTCCTGGATGGAATTTAAGGAAACTGGCGCAGGCCATGGCATCGTGGACGATGCCCTCGTGCCAAAGGAGGGCAGCGAATACGGCCCTAATGCTTTCGGCGAAGGATGGCGGCATCGCCCTCTTGATGGGACCCATGCTCCGTTTGGTGGATAATATGCAGGCCGTGGCGGAGGTCGATGTGGTGGCCAGCTGCAGCTCGCAGCTTTGCTGTTCGCCCTGTCCCGTGGTGGTTATCTGCAGGAGGCTCATCTCATCCTCGAGATTGGCGGCGTCCGTGGGCAGGATGCAGGCGGCACTTCGCTTGGGCGTGTGCTTTGGAGTGGATAGGAGAGCGGCTGTTTGGCTGGCCGAGTAATTGGGTCTCCTCATGCTGGCCAGGCTGAACTCCGGCTCCTGCTCCGCATCTCTATCGCGATCCCGCTCCCTGCCCCGATTGCCATTGCCGCTCCGTGGGGCGGCCTCCTGACCGCCCATGGCGCGTACCAGTTCCCTCACCGATACTCCGGCCAAGGGCGGCGAATGCGACGGTGTCAGCGGTTGGGCTCCCTCCACGGCGTCGCCCTTGAACCATTTCTGGAGGGCCTGCAACTTGATGGCGCCCCCGCCCACCACACCAGCTATGGCCGAGCCAATATTGGCCGGCAGCAGCTCCGTGGCGACGGCTGCCAGGGCTTCCTGCTCCTGCTCCTTTTGCTGATCCTCTGAATCTTCTTCCGCGTTGGCTGCCTCCTCGGGATTCTCCTGGCCTTTAAGCTCCGCCTCCTCATCCAGCTCCAGATCCCGTTCGGGTCTCGAGGGATACAAAAATGGATTCGTGGACGAGGAACCGGACAGGAAGCTACGATTTTTCGACTTTGTTGGACTCAACACGGGACTGGGATCCCGGTTGGGTTCTTGTTCCGGTTCCGGACTGGCTTCACCACTTGCCGTTGGACTTTCCGGCGGCGCCTCTTCCTCCTCCTCCTCCGGATTCTCCGACTGCTGCTGCTGCTGCTGTTTGGTTTTTCTCGTCGCGGGCGCCACCTCCTTGTCCGCCACTGGCTGAAGTAGCGTCCTGGCCAAATGCTGATTGAATTGCAAACACCAGGCCTCTGTCGGATACCAGCCCATGGTGCAGTGCTGGCGGATGGACTCTGTGGAAAGACGCAGCCAAATGCCATCATCGTTTTCGATTTCATCGATAAACGATATGACTCCGCCCACCCGAACCACGCCCACCTGCTCGGACTGCAGGGTGGGATGGGAACGGATTCTTAAGCCAGAACTGTGACGAGCCTGATAAAAAAAAAATGCAAAAAAAGATTTGATTAGATAAGCCAACACGGCGAACGTCAATAGTAAAATGATATAACAAGTACATAAGGTTCCTCAAAATAGACTTGGTTGGCTTCCTTTTTGGTCTAAGAAAAACATTCATTTTCAACAATATCAACAATGATCAGGAGTTAAAGTTACATCAAAGTTGATTGCGAGCTCCACATCAATGTATTGGTGTGCCGGCCACTGATATAAATTCGACAATTTTTTTTTAAACTATCAGTTGTCTTACGAATGTCAGAGGCACCGTTTGGTAAAAACTTTTAATAAAAAATTAATTTTCGAACAAAAGAAATCGGTTATAAAAACACAAAATAATAACACAGTGCGACAGTGATTTGGAACTTTTGAAGAGACCTTAATTATAAGGTAATCCTTAAGGTAATCCCTTAAGGGATTATAATCCCTTTTTTTTTTTTGGTAATTTTTCAAACATAACTGTTACTTTAAAGGACTAATAAGGTACTGTTTTATTTTAATACCCTTAATGAAAATATTATACTTTTCGTGAAAAGTTTACAATGCAACAAAGGAGATATCTCCTATAAAGTATTTCTATGCCCTGATCAGGATAACCTTTCCGTTTCTATATCTATCTGTTTCTAGGAGTTGTATGGACTTTTTAAGGGTCCTGGCCAATAACCAACTAATAATTCCAATCATAGGTAAGTCAATTTTTTGAAGAAAATCCATAAATACTAATAGTGTACAAAGAACCAAACCAAATAACTAGTGAAACCCCTGGATTAGTAATATTTTTGAGATAAACCCACCTGAAAGCGTCGCAGCTTACTGGGTGCCTGTGGCCTTAGCTGGGCACTACTCCTTTGGGTGGGCGGTGGCAGGACACCCTCTTTGACTTCCACCCGATAGACTTCCTCTAGGGGTATACCGTCAATGGTGACCGCCAGACAATAACCGCCCACCGAACTGGGCGTCCATTGGACACTGAAGGTGCCATCCTCCATGTCCCGGGCATTTAGGGATTCGGTGATCCGTGTCTGTATGGGACTGGCGTAGCGCAATTCCTCAAACGAGTAGTTGGTGAAGGGCTTCATGAAAGTGATGGCCTTGAAGCACATCTTCTCCTTGGTGGTGGGTTCGTAATTGAGACGCGGTGGCGGTGCCATGCCGCCCAAGTCACCGGCCGAGCAGGAGGCCCTGCGCATGCGCAACGTTGATCCTGGCGGTCCAAATCCTCCCGTTCCAGTTGTTCCATTCGGACCCGAACCCGTGGGTATAGCCTTTATTTCCACTTTCAGTTCTGGCACCAGGACAGCATCGCCGTACTGATCCCGTATGGTCACCGTTACCTGAGTGGGCCATCCGTAACGCAGGGGCTCCGTAATGGTGTTGAGCTCGCACCTAAAAAGAAGTCCATTTTTTAATATTTATGATTAAATATGAAATATTTGAAATATGTCTTTGAAATATGATCAGTCTGCTTGAGAATCGGATAAGAATTGGGGAAGATACAGCCATCACTGTGGGCCCTATAGGGGAAAACCCCATTTTCGAGGGTCCCATCAGGAAAAATGGACAAAAAATCTAAAAAATATTTTGTCTCTGGATTTTGATGCAGGATTGTGGAGAATCGATCTAGAAATCGTTTAAGGTACTCCGTTTGAGAATCGGATAAGAATTGCGGAAGATATAGCCATCCCAGTGGACCCTATAGGGGAAAACCCCATTTTCAGGGGTCCCATCACGAAAAATGGACAAAAAATCGAATTAGGCAGAATTTTGATGCAGAATGGTGGAGAACCGATCCAGAAATGGATTATACGTACCTATTGGGATCCAAGCGTGACTCTGGTTGCAACCAGGCCGCCAATCGAGCCCCCGATGATCCGGGTGCCCCGCTAATAAAGTCCTTAAGGAACTGTCGTTCATTTGATTGCGATCTGCAAAAAAAATAGTATTGTAAGATTATATATTAAATAAAGTTACCAATTATCTTATTATTTTAAAACCTTAAAACTATATTCTATATCTTCGTATTTAATTTATATGTTAATCGAATAAGAACCCCATAGATGCAATCAAGTGATCATCAAAGATGGACCGCCGCTGCCTGCTGGGCTGCTGCATTGACCTACGTGCCGCAGACCTTTTGGGAGGAGAATGAGATAGGGATAGTGAACCGAGGCAGAGGCAGAGGCAGAGGCAGAGGGTCAAAGGTCAAGAAGCACGTACAGCTATCGCAGGCACAGCGGGCGGTGAACGTGTTTGGTTGAATGGCTGTTGAGAACATATATATATATAGTAATACATGACTGGACGTGTGAAGATGGAAAATACCCTAATAGAACCGTTTCATAAGCAAACAAGGACGATAAGAACACTTATCTCGTAGAACTCGTATTACCGATTTTTTGTTTTTGCCAAAAATGGACATATAAATACATACACTTTTACATACAAGAGTTGTCTATATGAAATCACATTTATCGGTATTATAGCTATTTATAGGCATTTTAACTTGTGACTTCACTTGTGATGTACATGGTTTTAATAAGTTTAGTAATATTTGTTACCCTTTCTGCCTGTTCTGTTTTTATACCCTTGAAGGAGACAGTGAAGGAGATATCTCCGACCCTATAAAGTATATATATTCTTGATCAGTTTCAGTTTAAAAGTTTAAAGCTATTTCAGTTTCAGTTTTAAAGCTATCGACTTGAATATAGCATCGGCAGTATACAAGTAGGAACGGCCGGGATAGGCCAACAATATATTATAATAGGCCTATCCCGGATTGATCGGAAATGCTATAACTTTAGTATTTTTAGAGTTAGTTAGTTCAAATTTTACATGAGAGCTATTTTTGGCAAAATAATACGACATCCCAGATTTCATAAGGATCGGCCGACTATAACCTACAGCTGCCATATAACTGAACAATCGGAAATGATCCAACTTTCGTGTTTTTGAAGGTAGGAAGTTGGAACTTTGTACAGACTCTATTGTTGGTCAGGGGATACCCACATACCAAATTTCATAACGATCAGCCGATTATATCTTATATCTATATATTGCTAAAAAAATACCAACTTTGGTGTTCTTGAAGATAGAAGTTTGGGACTTTTTTTAGATTTTTTATTGTAATAAATTCGCATAAAGATCGGCCAATTGTATCGGATTTTATGAATATATGTATGTATATCCGGTTTTACCTGCAAGGGCTTATCAACTTTCTTATCAACGTTTCTTCTTTCCTTTCTTGTTTTTAGTTAGTTTTTTACTTGGATTTCTATCGATTTTCGGTATCTTGGATCTATGTACATATGTTATTTCTGACTTATTTCTGACTAATTCTTTCAAGTTACATACACGGTTTGTAGCAAAAATTCGCTGTCGCTTGAGTTGAAACCTTTCGACTGCAATTTTAATTCCTGGTGAAATTCATTTCTATTCTGTTACTGGGGGATCTGATACTAAATGTATGCTTAAGTTTATTTACATTAAAAAGCAAATAAAACAATACAAACAAAATAAAAACAAACGAAACTGTAAATGGAAATAAAATTAAAGTTTTTCCAACGAAAATCATAATGTCAGTGTCTGTCAGAGGAAATCGGAGAATGTGGAGAATCGGGTAACCGGGAAATCGTGTACCCCCAAGCCGCCATTGGGCTCTTATCCCCATATCCCCCATCCCCACTACTGCAGGCGACCCTGCACTTTGAAAACAAAACAAAATAAAAACGAAAATACAGACCAAAGTGGAGAGAATAAATAAAAAAAACAAAAAAAAAGGAAAACAAAGGGCAGCAGCCAACTGTGGCCACATGTGCGTGAGGGCTACCTGTGGGAAACACGTTTCCACGTTACGGTAACCCCTTTTACTCCCCACAAACACCCCTATACACCGAGAGGAATTTCTATACTAATTAAGCTATATACTATATATTTTTTTAAGAAGATATTTAAAATTTTTTGAAGTGTAGAGAAATGGAAATGGAGCGCAGAGAAACAAGTTGCGGATCCCCCAGTTGGAAGTTGCATTATGAGAGTGAAAGAGCCAGATATGGGGATGGGGTCCGAAAGAGAGAGAGAAAGAGAGAGGTGAGAGGGAGGTATGGGGGGGGTTATGCTCCCTATTGCGGCCATGTAATCGTTCATTCATTCATTGAATTCATTTTTATCGTGCCACAAAATGCGGAAGAGTTGCATTTGGGGGGATATACATACATATATACATAGATAGATCGAAAAGAAAGAGAAAGAAAGCTAGCAGTGAGAGAGAGAGTGAGAGGTAGTGACAAGGGCAAAGAAAAGTCAACTCCATGGGGAGTGCAAGTGGGTGTGTGTGTGTGCGTGACATTCGTCAATTCATTTATCGCTCACTCAACTTTGGGAAACAAAAATTAAAGTCATTAATAAAATAATGACTAATTTTTTAGGCAATTTCTATTTTAATTTATCTTAAAAATAAAAATAAAAAAAAACAAAAGAGTTTCAATTACTTTATGGGGATTTATGATCCATTATTTTATATCGATTCTTTTTTTTTAGAATTTTTATTGATCTCGAATTCTATTTGTGTCAAGTACTTTTGGCAACCGTTCATTTTATTTAAATACTCCAAAACACTTAACAATTGTATCTCCCTTTTTGGAAGACCATTGACACCCTTCTTTCTTATCAATTAGAAATGAAAATTATTGGAAAATGGGGAGGATTTTTGATGGCAGAATACTGAAATCACCGATCCAACGACGTAATAATTGAGAATCCGCCGTGGGCGGAGGACCCGTATTTCTTCCCGCACTATACATATATCTGTGTATATACCCCCGCGATCGTGCGGGTTGGAGCGGTGCAACTTCCGGCTCTTTCTGTTCCTGCCTCGTGTGGCAGTTGGCATCCAAATTGAACGCAAATTGATTTGTTGCAATGTCCGGGGTGGGGTGGTGCTGGCGGTGGTGGTGGTGGTGGCATTTCTCTAAAACAGCCGGATAAGGTGAATGGAGGGGGGGAGGGGGCTGGGAGGTTACTGTTCACAAACAAGCCGGCTCTTTGCTGTCTGCCTCTAATGGCTGCAATTAAATTTATTGCCCCCCACTGCCCCCAACCGGCCCCTTCGACCGTCCAATTAAAAGTCAACCAACAACTAGTTCTCCGGAGAATGGCAGAAGCCGAAGCTTTTGAAGCTAACTCACATACAATGGACAAACACACTCAAAAATATATGACAATTAACTACACTAAAAAATAAATGCTAAAAAAAAAAGATACAGTATACCATATATACAAATTAATATCTTAAGATATTATTAAGATATTATAAGAATAAGAAAACTTTTGATTTCAATTCCAAAATAAACAAATACGCGGAACTTCCTTCCATTCATTGACTCATTCAGATGTAGATACTTTTTGATATATACTATATATCAATGCTAAATTACTTATAAATAGCTACTACGGCTAGTACGGCTTTCAGATACAGATAAGATTAAGAATCTCTACATTTCTATGGATTGTTAAAGGGCTATATAAAGTGGTTTTTCGATTCTGGTTCATCTTCTACTCTTCTGGTTTATCTCTATCTGCTGTGGCTGTGCCGGGCCTGTTTCTTCTTAGGCTTAACATATGCACATATATGTATATGTACGTATTCATGTATAGACCCAGACCAGACCCGACCCAGCATGATATGTAATAAAAAAAATACAAAAAAAAAAGCGGTTCAGCTGATTCAATTTATCGAAAAGCCCCGCAGAGAGCTATAGATCAGCTGAGATCTCTCAGAGAGACAGCCATTGGGAGTGAGAGAGAGTGGGAGTGTTTATACACTGTAAAAAATACAACCTATTTTAAACTATACTGGAATTAAAATTGGCAACTATACAAAGATATGTAATTCTTAGTCTTATCTTTAGCACAAGAATGGAATAACACTGAATAAAAAACTTGTAATCAGTTATACTGGGAATTCATTGGCTTTATCATCTATGTGAGTCCTAGTCTTATCTTTGTAAGATTATTGTATGTATAAACTCATTGCCCAAGACATCGTTTTATATTTTATATATATTCTTTTTATTAAAAAACTCAAATTCTATTGAATTCTATTTTAGTTTTCGTTTCAATTTAAGTTTGATATAACCTTTTTTTTTTTTTTTTGTTCTATTGAATAGTTCATATTTTTCAAGAAAACTCATATTCAATATTGATACATTTTAGTTATTTCAAGCTTAATACAACCTTTTCTATTTATTTTATTAAAAAGGGAAAGGCTGTGGAAGTTTGAACTAAAATAATGCTCAAAATTTAAAGCATATTTTACAAAGTTTATTCATGCTATTGGTTTTTATATAGATAATTGAGACAGCAATAATAATAGTATTGTCACAATATCATTTTTTTCTTCTTTGTGCATTTTTTTGTGCATTTTGCCATTAGATTGTATATCTAATCTTTTTTTAAATTTTTTTTTTTGCAGTGTAAGAGAGAGCCGAGCGAGAGCGCACCAGAGAGGGGAATCACAGGAACGTGTGGAACGAAACACAGCGCCGATCTTGGCGACTCGAATACCAACAATCGCCTCAGAACGATTCCAACCTTTCTCGCGAACACAACGATATCGCTCGATAAAAAAAAATTATATTCGGCGGCATATCACATTGTTATTTTTTTGTTTTTTTTCTTATTGTTCTAAAATATTTCTGTGGATGACGAAGAACATCATAAATATGCATATTAGTGCGATCTCTGCTGACACACTAGTCGTCTAAATCAAGAGTGTTGGAGCGCGAAGAGCGAGAAGAAAACAAAAATAGTTCTGTGCTTTAAATACGAATAAAAAAACACAAACACATAAAATAAAAACCGCAAAAAAAATTATAAAGAAAGAAATCCAAATAAATATTTCACCATATAATTTGTAACTGCCAAAAAAAAAAAAAGTGAAAACCAAAAAAATAAATAAAATGGGACAGTTGGTGGAACTGTCGGTGCTACTTTTATTAGTGACCTCAACTCTAGCCAGTAACATGAACTACGACCGATACGATCGCCTGCCCCAGACCAAGGCCCAGGACAGTTCCGACATATGCAATCACTGCGGCTGCGAAGGAGTTAGGATTGAATGCGATTTCCGGATAAATAAAACCGTGAGTTTCTAAAAAACAATGCAATATATTATTACTCATTATTTTATATATTTTGCTAGACTTGACTTGAGTAATCAGTTTCTTGTTAACGTCGTAGTAAGTGTGTCATCGATTTCTGATAAAATATTAATCCCTCGTTGAAATAAATTTCGAATTCAATGTAAAAATATTCTGTTTTTGTTGCAAAGAAAAAGGGGGTTTGCTCTTCCGGTCTTTAGGTCTCCTGTCTTTAGGTCTCCGGTCTTTGGGTCTCCGGTCTTTAGGTCTCATGTCTTTAGGTCTCCGGTCATTAGGTCGCTTTTTAACAAGAAGATTGGTAGATCAATTTCTCGTTAATATTCATCAAATTCTTGGAACAATATATGTATTATTTACATATCTAAAATAACTCGTTATATTTGTACTCTACTTGAAGTAAAGAATCAACTCAAGAAGTGAAGTGAAGAATCAACTTGAAAGCTAATCTTCAGAGACAGTCTCCCAGCAAGTAAACAGAGTAACACAACCCACCTAATCGAATTACCGAAAAAGATAAGATATCGGGACATATCGGACATATCGGACAGTCAGAAGCTCTCCTTTTAATAAAGATACTAAAAGTGCTAATATTTTAACTGAAAGGTAATGCTTAGGAAATCACAAAAAAAACTAATTTTAATTGGACAAGTGGTCTACTTGGCTTATCTATATAATGGTCTAATGGTCTATAATTTTAGTTGATAACAACAGTTGATAGCTACTACTAATTATGAAAGACTTGTGATTCATATTGGATCCGCCATATTGAATTTTTAAATCTGAATCAAATTCGTAATCAGCGATCCAATAAATTAAAAATAAAGTCGCATACCTCCAAAAATGTAAAACTTTTTTTGAGGTTAGGAAGAAACGTACACGTGCAGGACCAAAACGGACTTCAGATTCGTGTTCAGCGGTCCAAAATACATGGGGATAGGGTACTCTGATCTCCCAACCCGGACACTTTTTTTTTTTTTGTGTGGCTGTGTAGTTAATAGATCTTTCATGAACAAAATATTATATTTTAGAATAAGCTTTTAATAAAAGCACATTTTTTAACAGCAAAAATATATGATTTTGTAAATATTTTCCACAAAACCCTGGAAATTTTTCAAAACAAATACATACATAGCTGGGGAAAATATCTGAAAATATTTATATAAAGTTTTCAGCCACTTTTGGGAGGTTGAGGTTGAAAAATGCGTAGCCTAAGCACTTTTGATTAATTTCACGCTAAATCAGAAAATCAGAAATTAACTCTGACGCCAAGGGAATGTAAACAAAAGCAAAATAATTATTGTTCCTGCCTCGAAATCTGAATCGGCATTGGGCATCAAGCGATAGTATTATATATAGGCATCGGCAATGCGTGCAAAATGAATGAAAATGAAACAAGAAGAAGGCGGCGCCGACGTGCTGCCACTCCCTTTTCCGCCCCCACCGTGGCAGTATCTAGTCATCCCCCCCCAGACTCACACACACACAGTCCAACAGGTTATGCAAATGAGTCAGGTGTGCGTTTTTAAAACAAAAAACTCGGTTCGTTTGCTCCCGCACTTCGAAATAAAAAAAAAATAAAGCCAGAAAAGGGGGGAGATCAAGTGCAAGTAATTGAAGGAATCAGACAAAAAAAAGGAGGGTTCTACCCCTTAAGATTCCCGATATAAAATCTAAAAAAAATAAACATAGGATGGGTCTTGTTCCAGATTCTTCAGTTTGCCAAACAAACAATATCTTATTTGTATTTTTAGTCACCAAGGAAATGGTTATTGATGAAATGGAAAAATATGGAAAAGAGGTATGGTTTCGGAACCTAACAAAATAAATTTATTTTTTTATTTTTTTTTTTTTCTTGGTAATGCATTTTAGATAATTCATATCCCATAAATATCGGTCAGCAGTCATAAGCTTTTAAAATAAAACGTACAAGTAGATTGCATTTTGCATAAAGATTTTGCAATTTTAACTTGTTTGGTTAGCAGTTTTTCAGTTGAGAAATAAAATAAACGATCAAGGTCATTTTAATTATACATCCGTAAGATATAGCTATAGCTAAGATATGGCAGATACAATTGGTAATTTGTTTCTATATTTTAGCACAAAATTTATCGATTAAAAAAAACAAGAATACTATATATTTTACCAAAACTCTATGCGGGTTTTTGTTAAAATTTTTTTTGTTTATTTTAGGCCAGAATATATACATATATATGTATGTATCTCTCTCCATATGTGGATAATATGTTTAGGTAATAGTCGTTAAATTTTGCACTTCCTTAGTAATTGAATGAACTTGGTCTGAGAGATGTATTCATGGTTTTTGTTTAATTTTTTTTTTGTCCAAGCGGATGTGGGCCAACGGGTGACACTTGTCCACCCCACCATCTTTTGAAGATCTTCTTCTAAGCATGTGTCGTCATCTTGTAGATACATATACAAAACCGAAAATTTATTTATTTGCCGCGTGGGCGCTCCAGTTCTCGGTTCTGTGCAAAGTGGAACTGGACAGAAAGCTCTACAAAATGGAAATGCATTTCCCCTCCCTCCCTCTTTCTGATAAACCCTGAAGATAAATTTATAAAAAAAAAAAAGAAGACTCTTTATATAGTGTCAGCAGCTGTGTTGCATATCTTTCCAGCAATATCTTAAGAATCGAAATCGGAACCAATCAGATTGCACTCAAAACACTATATATATATATCGAGTGTGGGCGTGGAATGTGAGCCTACTTAAACACCCATTTCGAATGGCTACTTAAACTACTTAGAGAACTGGGAGCCGCTAACAGAAAAAAATCCATCAAGTGCCACACTAAACAAGACAAACCCAAACACACATCCATAGAAACACAAAAAAACAAACATTCTGTGAAGGAAGACAAATGTGTGAATGCTATATATGAGGTGGTATCATAAAATCCAACTGTGGAAAATGTGGAAAAACTGCATTCGAGGCCAACCGGATTTGGCCAATAATTTGGATTAAATCATAAACAAGATTTGAATTGTATATACATACTTTTGGTACTATTGGTCATTTTCATTCAAGAAAGTACCAGAGCTTTCTAGAATTTAGCTTTTTTTTTATTGAATGTTTATCTTATCTTGTAGATAATCAGGGCGACTAATAAAAAAAAGTGAATAAATAAGAAATTCATGTAAACCCACTTAAGAATTCTGCATTTTTTGCGTAGCCCTGAAGTCACGTAGGCACCCATAACTTATCCGACATTGAACGTGTTGAGGTTTTCTATCTTTAAGATAAAAACGCATCTGTAAAGTGAATGTGCGGGTGGAAGTACATATGTATGTATGTGTGTGGCATAGAAAAGGGATTTTTGGGAAAGTCCATTGAGGTCCATTTTCCGGCCATGTGATCAGCATTCCGGCCATGTGACATTCGAGTTTTTTCCAGGGAGACTTCTTCCTCACTTTCGACGGCGAGTGCTTAAGATATAGAGATCATAATTTATTTTTAATTGGCTTTGTTTGGTTATTTATGTGCTGTTGTTGGTTTTGGCACTTCCAGCCAGGCGACGGCAGCTATTTCCGCTTGTCTGCCACATTCGTTCGTCGGATTTCGATTTGGATCCAAAAATATATCTCGAAAGTTGTCGCCCGCCGTAGAAAAAATGTGTAAAGAGCCGGAAAAGCGCTCCGGGCTCCGGGCTCCGGGATAGAAGCCCTATATATAGTGTGGTGTTCCAGGCCACAGTTTTTCAAAATACACTTTAAAAAAAATTCTAAATAAATCTGAAAGACATCTAGAGATCATCTGTCCAAAAACGAACTTTATAAACTTTTTGTTTTTTTTTTTGGGGCACATTTTTGTTTGTTTTTCCAGCCATTTGGAGGAATGGTTCTCATAAACTTGAAACCAAATGGATGATGGGTAGATGATGGGATTTAGAGAAAGGGATGGGAGGGGGGGACCAGACCGAACCGGACCGGATTGAAGGAAAACTGTCTGTCAGACAAACAAGCAAATTAAAACTCACACGTAATTGAGACTTCCTCTTTAGGAAGAGAGCCAGAAACTGGAGCAATTGAAAGAAAATTGCACCCAGAGCCACCAAGATGATGGTAACAACCAGAGCGCGAAGAATCCGAGAGGAAAAAGTGTAAGAATGTTGTGAAAAAAATGTAAAAAACAAATAAAAAGATACAATACATACATATACATACATCACAGCTAAGTAAACCAGAAAATCTCAGCAGGCAGACTGACGAGACAACAAGTGCGCCCATTGGGAGGGACCGAGAGAGAGCCGGCTGCCGTTGGGGCTACAGATACACAGATACAGATACAAAGATTCAGATACACAGATACCAAAGTCCCCCGATACAGATGCAAAGACATTGAACCCCCAACCGAGGCCAGACAAAACAAAAAGCCACAAAAAAAAACAGGTGGCCCGGCTGAGACTGCAAGAATCGAAAAAAAATATAAAACGAGGACTGAATTATAATGTCAACTGTCCAGACCAAACCAGAGAACCCCCTTCTATCATTACTTTTACTTTTCTGTTTACTACCCGTAAGATTGTAGGGATGATTCACATTCTAAATCATTCAAAGTGTTTTTTTTTATGGAAGTATTTACACCGAAACGTCGCGGGAATATAAAAATAAACAAAGGGTATTCAAACCTTAAACCTTATCTCACAAGTAGCAACGCAATACCTTATCAAAAATCTAAAAAAAATGGTTTATTACTCAAAAAGTGCATTACAGGACCTATATAGTTGACAAAGATATAGAAGAGCTTCCTTTTACTTTCGTAATACCAAGATTTATTAATTCAATAAGTAAGATCTGTAGACTGATCAACAAGATCATCAAGATCATTAGGAACAGTGTGTGGCATGTACCATCTATATGGTACACTCTCCTCTATGGAGAGTACAGCCTCAACCATCCATCTCATAGTCATCGTCGGCCCTTCAAGTTTCAACTATTTTCACTTAATTTAATGGAAAAATTGCACCCGGGTTCGAGTTCTTCACTCTTCATTCTCCATTCTTCGTTCTACATTCTTTACTCTCCATTCTTACAGTTGGGGTTCTGCAACTGGATGGTTGGATTTTTTTATTTATTTATTTATAATTTTTTTTTTTTGTATTGTGGCTGGAGTCAATGCTCCTCGGCGTTGCGGTCAAGTTGCCGTTGTCGTTGTCGTCAGTGTAATTGTCATCTGTATATGTTGCTGATGTTGCAGTCTCCTCCTATTGTTGCTGTGGCAGACACTGCGTTTAAAAATAAAACACAGAAGAGTAAGGGAGACTGGCTAAAGTGCGGGATACATAGACCGCAAGAAATGTAAGTCAAGCGTCACGATCCCCACGACAACAGCCAGCAGTAGCAGCCGGGTGCTAACTTCCAATTGAGAGGGAAACATACTTGCAACAAAAATAATTTATACACTTAATGTATACATGTTTAACCAGCCAATACTTATCGGGTCATTTGGTTACAGCTCTCACCAATCTGGGACTCCAAATATGTCGTCCAAAAGAAATTCAGATCGATCATAGTCCAGTTGAAGCCGCAAACAAAGTTGGAGCTACGCGCCAACTTCCTAAACGATAACCAAACGGTCAACGCCTTTCGTTTCTATGGATCCAAGGAGGACGATCAGGTAGAGGTGACCGAGCATGCCTTCAAGAAGAACAATGCTGGTTATCCCGAGATCGAGTTCTTTGGCGTAATGGCCGTCTTTCTGCAGGCCCAGGCCCTCGAAGGTAAGTTTGCCTTTCCTCCAATGCCCCCACAAGCCAGTAATTATCTTTGAATTTTAAGGCGACGATTTTAAGGTGCTGGCGGAAAACTGTAGCCATGTGGTTATCTTTTCGAAGGCCTTGCAAATGTCCAATTTGGACCTGACCATCAAGCAGGTTGACCGGTTCGATCTGAAACAGAATGCCTTCCACTCGGGTGGTACCAAGACATCCACCCCCCTGGTTAATGTGAGTAAGCCAATTATATGTTAGGAACATATGATATAATATATTTTTTCGTCCATCCGATAGCTGCGGGTGGAGAACTCTGGCATGGCCCAGATCAACAGCTTCAATCAATCGATGAACAAGGTCAGCTTCAGCCTGTGCCGGATCGGTAGCATTGAGCAGGACGCATTCCATGTCACCAATATCAAGGAGCTGAACTTCGAGAATAATCATATTAGAACCATTAAGCCGGGAGCTCTAGCCGACAAACTCCTCAGCGATAAGGTCTCCCTGGTGAACAATGTAATCGGAACCATTGAGGGCGAGGCGATAAGTCACAGCGGAGTCAGTTATCTCATCTTTACCGGCAACACGTAAGTATTTTCTGTCATGGTCACGGTGGAAAATCCTTTCATTGTGTCATTTCCAGTGTGGAACGCATTCGATCGGGGGCCATCCAGGTGAATGCAGCAAATGCCTATATCCTCAATAATACTGTGCAACATACGGAAGCCAACTGGCTGACCATCAATCAGGTGGCACATGTGGAGATCAACGACAACAGATTCGATCGCTTCGACACGTTTCAAATCAAAAACGTATCGGACGTTTTCAATTGCAGTTTCTTGAACAACCGCCTAAAGGATCCCCAGCCGGGCAGTCTCGATATAAACGCCTGCCGGATGCACCATATCCATGTGGGACGGCAGTGTGCCTGCGATAGCAGAGCCTGGCTCTCGAATCTTAGCCACCACGATCTGGACTCGGAAATACTCTGTACGTTGAGCGAAAGCGATACCAAGTGCTTCAATTCCACCAGCGTTAACTGGCGGCGGTATTTGTATGAGGCCTGTGGCGTGGGCAGGAACACCAATGTCACCCAGCACTGCATCAACGGACGGTGGTCGGAGCGATCGATCAGCGACCAGCAGAGCGGAAATGTCTGGAGCAGCAACGGCATAGCCGGATGCATTGTGGCCTTCGTGGCGGTGATGGGCCTGGTTGTGGTCGGCATCGCACTGATATGCCGGAAGAAAAGAAACAACGTTAGTCAGACCTGCTCCTGGACCAAACCGGAAACGGACATGCTGTTAAAAGAGGTAAAGAATCTGTCCGATCAAGAGGAATATAAGGATGTGTGTAAGGCCCTCTTGAAACTAAACAAAGGAACACTGAGCAAGGCCGACTGCTTAAATCGCATCACCGACATTCTAAGTTGTCTACCGTCCAAGTCACCGTCCGTCATTAAGAATCTGCTCACCGATCACCTGAACAAGTGCCATCCTAGTAATATTCTCAAATTTGCTGATTCCCAAGTGGTAGATTCGATGCTGCCACCGATACCACCGCCAAGTGCACCCAGTCCAGACCTACAAGATACATACGATACGCATATCTATGCTGAGCCCCAGGAGGAGCGACGCCTAATACCAAACAGTACACCACAACAGTCACCACCAGAATTCTGCACCCACTACTCGTCTCCCATTAATACCGAGGACCCGTACACCGAGCCATTCAATGCACGTAAGTGTGGAATCGGTGGCTACGATTATAACAGAAACAGCAATGGAAATAATCAGGGTTATAGTCCGGTTTAACGATCTCTTTCCTCTGTTTTGGATTGTATTTAATTGTATTTAATACTTATACTTAAGTGTAGTTTGATAACGATCATATTTATTACTCTCCTGAAACTCAAAAAAGAAAAGTTCGAATTTGACCTTATCCCTAGCCCCTGGGGATATTACGTCCTTAAATTTTCCTCTTCCTCGAAGAAGTTGAAGTTGAAAAACAACTTTCCATTTTTCTCTTAAAAACAAATATATATCTTATATATTTAAAGGTTATGAATAGAAAGTCCTTGTAGTTATGTAAATCACAAGAATATATACCAAATGCACAATTAAACAACAACAAAAAAGCTAGCACTGAAAAAAAAAATTTAAAAAAAAAGAAAAAAACCCCACACTTGAAAATACCTACATACCACCACCGGACGATGATACCACATGAGTACCGGGCACAAACCACACTCCGAAATCCACACCAAGCCACGTGCATGATCCAAGAAAGGTACCAAAACACAAACGTAGCTATATTTTCCCAAAAAACAAAAATCCTGTAGTATTTTTAAAAATGGTGATGGATCTCTCCTTAATTTTCCCTCTATGTTGGTTATCTTATATCCTATTTGGGTCTTTGTCCTCGTCTTGGATAACTGGTTTCTAATGTTCTATGTTTTATATTCATGTATCTTGTATCTGTATCTTTTGAAACATATTTGTTACTAATAACTAACTCATAAAAAAAATAATCTGGCAATAAGGTAACATTTAACCTTTAACTACTCACAATTACTACTTCTACTAACAATATATTTATTCAAAAAAATAACTATAACTATAATTTGAGTCTAAAAATTTTGGGAAATTATTATTTTTAAGAATTACATTTAATTTCCTATTTTTTAGACTCAAATCTTAAATATTTCCAAGCTATCGACAGTCTCTAACTTCATATCCTTTTCTATTTCAAAGATGCAAACGATATACCACCGGCCTACCAATATGCCACTCCTATGCGACGCCTCGCCCCGCCCCGACAACCCCCAAGCAGTGTCGTGAAATATTCCACACCCGTATGGCGCTCTGCCCCAGATGCCACACCCATCAGTCGCCCACCATCGGGAGCTAGTGTCCCAACTGCCAGCGCCAGCGCCACCGCCACAGACGTTGTACCGCCATGGCAGCGTCATGTGCGCGACTTGCGACAGGACTTGGAGGCCATGCCACAATTTCATCCCAATCAATTGACCTCATTGCGTAACCAAAGACAGGTGCAGCAGAATTATCCGCGTCAGCAGCAGAAGCAGGAGCCAACGTTGCAACAGCCACCGCCCTATAGTGGCAGCCGCGGTCCGGGCGGTAGCCGCAGTTTCGAGTGCCTGGATGGTGCCGCCAGTTTGGCAGCCATGGAGCACATGGACTCCGGTTCGGATCATTCGGGGGGTAGTGATGTTACGGTTCAAATCAGTGATGTGATTGACTATGCGGATGCCTAAAAGTATGCAGCGGATGCACCAGTAACACCATCTGCCCTATAATAATACTTATAACTGATTATAAACGAAACTTTGTGATATAAATAAGATTTCTCTGGCGATACGTTTGAAACTTTGAGAGAGAGTATCAAGAGACCCGAACGTTGAAAATTGAGAAAAAAAAAAATTATAATAAGCTAGTTTGTATAAATACATATATTAAACATTGAAATGTAATTTAATAAACTATATGCTTTTTTTTTGTAATAAGAACTTGATTGGATGTTTTTCTTTTCTTTGGGAACGTAACAGTTTTCCCATACTTCTCATAGGAGACGTTCTTCTTATAGAAAGGGCTTTCAAAAGTCTATATTATAAAGCTATTCTTTATTGAACTCTTCAAGTAGCTGGTATGGATATTATAATTCATTTTTATATAAAAATAACTAGATAAAACATATGGTCCTCTTATATTTTTTTTTTTTAAATATGAAGACTAGACTGATAAAAAATTTCGAATAGTAGAAATGATCTTCGTAGAATTGGAAAGGTTTTGTAAAAAATCCTACAGTACCGGGTAGGTATATCATAATTTATACAAATATTTATATAAAGCTTTTATTTGACTGAATATTACTGTCATGAATATAAGTATTCTTTATGGGGTTGAAAAGGTTTTCTAAAATCCTACAGTACCGGGTATGAATACTACAACTTCAACTTCTTCCTGGATGTTGGTTAGAGGAACCACCAAGTTGATATATGTATCTCTTTAAAACCTATATATATTCCTCAAGAATATTTTCAAATTATTTCGTGACTTGTTGAAAAAATCAAAAATATATATATGGAATATCTTGTATTACCACATTTGTTGACTTTTGCCGATGGCCCGTCATCATATCTATCGTATGACCGATTTCTCCCCCTCCAGTGGCTATTGGAAAATTAGTCACTCAACCAACACAGCTGGTTTTTTATTTGTTTTTATTTTAACTGCAAATTCTGCGATAATTGTTAAGACAAAAAACAAAAATAATCAAATGCAACAGCACCCGCCGCCAGTCGGGCGGTGTGTTGTGCTGAAATTGCATTTTAAAATGTTGTATAACTTGATTTGCCAGCACAAGCATTGAACTGAGTTTTTCTTCTGACCAATAAATTGTTGCTGGATATGCAAATGCTCGTTCTAAAAGCCTTTTCGAGTTATTAATGTTCATATATGGTCAGTAAGACGGCGGCATTCGCTCAGTGATTCCATCAGATTATCTCACGTAGTTCCCAGCAGGCGAAAATCAATTGATACACTTGGGAAATAAATTTCTTATTTTTCATAGACATTTATGATACCCAAAGTAGCTATTTCCTATTAATTTTTTCCAGTGGGATATCTATGACTGTTTTGCTTTGGAAACCCCTGCTCTGTTACCCCATTTATCGACACTCCCAGGTAAAAAAAATGCCTGCTTATCTTTAAGCTCTCAAATGAAAAGTATCAAAAGCTCATAAATATAAAATGCTTAATTTTCCACTCAATTATGAAAGAAATAAGAATATTAATCGAACTGAATTAAATAAAATTCATATTAATTTTCTTTGTGGACTTTTGAACGATTTATGTACTCCTTTATAGAGGTCATATTTTGGTTTAATCTGGAGACCTGAAGTGCATTATTTTTTTCATTTATTTACATACATAGTTCGGCTCTTCACAAGCCGACCGACCACTAAGTGCTTTATGTTTGACTTTGCCCCCCCAAGCAAATTTGATTTGATTTTCTACCGCCTTTGGGTATTTTTTTTCTTGTGGAGGTCTTGTGGAGGCTTTCTTGGATTGTTTTTTCCTCTCTAGTTGAGGTTTTTATGAGCAAGTGTCAAGCGATGCGTGGAGTCGTTCAATTAAGCGCGCGCGCCGCCACCAATCAGAGTCGCAGCAGAACAACATCATACTTTAGCTTCAGATACATTTCCAGCTACAGATACATTTACTCAAAACTCAAAGATTCCCTCTACACAACCTCCCTATTGAACTTCAACTCGAGGCACAGTAAACAAAAATTCTCTATGCAAAAATTCTTTTCGTTTTGTTTTTTATTTATTTTTTTCATTTATTTTTTTCTAAGCTTGCCACAGCCAAACTGGCGCTCGTTTTTTAGTCGCTCAGAGAACTGGTGAGATTTGGAGAGCGATCCAAAGAGAGAACCCCACAGAGGTGCCCAAGCAGCTTCAAAAAATGGAGCCAAAAAAACACATTTTTGTGAGGGTTCCCCTATGAAAAAATTCGAAAAATTTCAAAACCACATTTAGGCAATGTTTTGAATGAGGAAAGTAGCTTCTGAGTTCGCTGATTACTAAATGGTACTTTCTTTCCTGATCAGATAAGAATTAGCAGAGCTATGGCCATCGGAAGGAGCAAAAGTGGGGAAATCGCGAAAACCCACATTTTTGTAGGATTACCCCTAGGAAAAAATTCGACAAATTTCAAAACCACATTTAGGCAATGTTTTGAATGAGGAAAGTAGCTTCTGGGTTCGCTGATTACTAAATGGTACTTTATTTCCTGATAGGATAAGAATATCCTGAGCTATGGCCATCGGAAGGAGCAAAAGTGGGGAAATCGCGAAAACCCACATTTTTGTAGGGGTACCCCTAGGAAAAAATACGAAAAATTTCAAAACGATATTAAGGCAATGTTTTGAATGAGGAAAGTAGCTTCTGGGTTCGCTGATTACTAAGTGGTACTTTCTTTCCTGATCGGATAGGAATTGCCCGAGCTATGGCCATCGGAAGGAGCAAAAGTGGGGAAATCGCGAAAACCCACATTTTTGTAGGGGTACCCCTAGGACAAAATTCGAAAAATTTCAAAACCACATTTAGACAATGTTTTGAATGAGGAAAGTAGCTTCTGGGTTCGCTGATTACTAAGAGGTACTTTCTTTCCTGATCGGATAGGAATTGCCCGAGCTATGGCCATCGGAAGGAGCAAAAGCGGGGAAATCGCGAAAACCCACATTTTTGTAGGGGTACCCCTAGGAAAAAATTCGAAAAATTTCAAAACCACATTTTGGCAATGTTTTGAATGAGGAAAGTAGCTTCTGGGTTCGCTGATTACTAAGTGGTACTTTCTTTCCTGATCGGATAGGAATTGCCCGAGCTATGGCCATCGGAAGGAGCAAAAGTGGGGAAATCGCGAAAACCCACATTTTTGTAGGGGTACCCCTAGGAAAAAATTCGAAAAATTTCAAAACCACATTTTGGCAATGTTTTGAATGAGGAAAGTAGCTTCTGGGTTCGCTGATTACTAAGTGGTACTTTCTTTCCTGATCGGATAGGAATTGCCCGAGCTATGGCCATCGGAAGGAGCAAAAGTGGGGAAATCGCGAAAACCCACATTTTTGTAGGGGTACCCCTAGGAAAAAATTCGAAAAATTTCAAAACCACATTTTGGCAATGTTTTGAATGAGGAAAGTAGCTTCTGGGTTCGCTGATTACTAAGTAGTACTTTCTTTCCTGATCGGATAGGAATTGCCCGAGCTATGGCCATCGGAAGGAGCAAAAGTGGGGAAATCGCGAAAACCCACATTTTTGTAGGGGTACCCCTAGGAAAAAATTCGAAAAATTTCAAAACGATATTTAGGCAACGTTTTGAATGAGGAAAGAAGCTTCTGGGTTCGTTAATTACTAAATGGTACTTTATTTCCTGATCGGATAAGAATTGCCAGAGCTATGGCCATCGGAAGGAAAAAGAGCTAAAGCGTCAGCACTATGTTCACACTCTGCCGCTCAAGTTTTTTCCGCTCAGCAGCGGGCCGCTGGTGGACGTCGCTTTACGTGTGGCGTTTGGCGGTTTGGCGCTCAGTTAGTCGTTTGCACGCGCTGACACCGGTTGACCGACCAACAACAATAACAAACAACAACAAAAAAATTTAATAAAAAAATAAAAAAAATACGTGGAACAAGTAGAACCGAAACCCGATGATCGCGCGTATTTTACTTAAAATTTGAGACGCTGATTTCACAGCCAAAACGAATATTTACTCTGGTAATTAACAGGCCATTTTTTAATTTAAACTTGTTAAAAAATAGAAATATGTTTTTCGAATAATTTTTTGAAAGTGTTGAAAAAGTGTGTGAGTGTTTATTGGTGTGTGGTGTGTACATTTTTGTGGCCTAGCCTTTGGGAACCGCCATAAAGTTCAAAGCAATAAAAAAAAACGGCGAGAGGCTGTGGCAGAAATTGCAGCCAGCCGCCGCCGCGTTGCATGAAAACTACAAATTTTGCAGAAAAACAAAAAAAAATGCTAAAGAATCTGACGGGTCTCTCTTTGAATTCTCCAAAGAATCTCTCCCTCAGTCTCTAATTGCGTAAAAGGCAACGCCGCGTACCCCCACGCTTCACAACAAAAACCAAACAAATAAAAATCCAACCAAGCCCCAAACAAGAATTTGACATCTTTCTATGATCCCTGCGGGAATCTGAATCTAAATTAGCTACAAAATACGCCCCCTTGCAAAATAAAATGAATCCAAAACAAAATGGCAAACAGGCATCTTGCCATATCCATCCATATACCATATACCCAATATCCATATTGTATGGTTAGTCTCTCCCCATCACACATCACATCGTCATCGCGATATTTTTTGATATTTCAAGGTTAGATGACGACGGAGAAAAGCAAACGTGAAATAAAAATCTGTTTTTAGTTTGCCATTAAAAACGCTTTCGGAAACATTTACTTAAAAAAAACCAACTGACAACAAAAAAAAAAACAAATAAAAATCCAGACCTATAGACCTTTTGTTTGTGGCTCTGACTCAGGAAAGCTCTAGAGCTCAAGACCTTGTTTTTTAAACAATTACCCAACAAATGTATTCAAGTTTAGAAACTAAGAACATAGAACTTGAAAACAAAAAAGAAATAAATCATATTTTACATCATATTGATTTATTTCTGTACCCAAGCTTTGATTTTTCTTAAATCAACTATTAGTTCTTCTAGCTAAGCCTCCAAAACCTTCCTTAAAAATCCATAATTTTTAGAAGAATACCAAAAGACTTTCTTTCAAGTGCAGAAGCTACAAGTGGTAGAAAGCCAAAAAGCCGAAATCCACCAACAAGGCCAAAAAAACATTAACCCCATCAAGTGCCCTCAGTGGTTAGACCTTTGGCTAAAAGAAGCTTTTCTCTGGCGGTCTTTGGAAAAGAAAAAGCAGTTGACAATTTTGCAAAAGATACAATTTTAAATTAAAAGAAAGCTTGCAATTTAGCTTTCTTTATGGCCTTAAATATCAACTGCTTTGTTAAACAAAACTGCTTTCAGGAAAAATAACAATAAAAAAAACTGTGTCATACATTTCATATCAGAAAATCTTATCACTCTTATCTATTAGCTGATAAGATAATACCTTTTCCCCACACAAAAGTTGTATATAAACCATTTTCTTTAAATTGGAGTCCCTTTTTCTATTTAGCTATGGCACAAAACGGTTTATAAACCGAAAATAACCATGTGTATTTAAGTTTGGAAAATAGGAGCTTCAATACCAAACAGAAATAAATTTATTTTAAAAAGTATTATGGACAAAAATGTGTCCTTTTCACATAAAAACCATAAAACAAAGGCTTTCACATGTACAATGTAAGATCATAAAATCATAATATTTGAACACAGAAAAGTCTATTTTTATACCTTTGAGAGGTTAGTATATAAGTATGTATTATAAGTATGTTATAATTTTAGTCGAAAGTGTGCAACGCAGTGAAGGATAAATCTATAATAAATCTAAGGATAATCTATATGTATATAAGGATCTGGTATACCCGAAGATAACTTCCCTTCCTTGTTTCTGCAAAGGATATTTATTCATTTCTATTCTAAACTTTATAGAAATATTACTTCAAAGAAGTATTTCATTGCATATTTTTAGTCTGCCAAAGAAATGCGCCAATCTAGGTACCATTATCTATATAATATCAATGATATCTGTGGCTTATAATCGCTAGGCTTATAAATTTTAAAACAAGAAAGGAAAGCTAACTTCGGGCGGAGCCGAAGTTTATATACCCTTGCAGTTAAAACCGGATATATATCGCAAACATCGGATATAGTTGACCGATCCTTATGAACACATCATAATAAAACCAATTAACTAAAATGAAAAATCCGAAAAAGGTCCCAAACTTCTATCTTCAAAAATAAGAAAGTTGATATTTCTACCAAGTACCATTTCCGATCGTTCAGTTATATGGCAGCTATAGGATATAGTCGGCCGATCCTAATGAAATTTTGTAGGTCGGATTAACTGACCAAAAATATAATCTGTACCAAGTTCCAGTTTTCTATCTTGAAAAACAAGAAAGTTGGGTCATTTCCGATCGTTCAGTTATATGGCAGCTATAGGATATAGTCGGCCGATCCTTATGAAATTTGGCATGTCGTAATGTGGCATGTGGTAATATTTTGCCCAAAATAGCTCTCATGTCAAATTTGAACTCTCTAACTCTAAAAACACCAAAGTTATACTTTATAGGGTCGGAGATGTCTCCTTCACTGCGTTGCACACTTTTGGACAAAATTATAATACCCTCTGCAAGGGTATAAAAAGGGTATAATGAAAGGGGGTTTTACCGTCATTCTGACAAGGACAGGAAATGACACTTGATAACAAATAGTGATAACAAATCGTACACAATCCTCATGATCTGTACAAAGTCCTCAAGGGCAATAGGGGGAAATATTTAAAGAAATTGCACAAATTGCAAAAAAAGAAAACAAACCTATTTTTATACCCTTGCAGAGGGTATTATAATTTTGGTCAAAAGTGTGCAAAGCAGTGAAGGAGACATCTCCGACCCTATAAAGTATATATATTCTTGATCAGGATCACCTCCTGAGTTGATATGAGCATGTCCGTCTGTCCGTCTGTCCGTCTGTCTGTCCGTCTGTCCGTCTGTCTGTCCGTCTGTCTGTTTCTACGCGAACTAGTCTCTCAGTTTTAAAGCTATCGTCTTGAAACCCTTTCACACACACACCCTTTTTTCCTTTGCACGCAGTATATAAGTCGGAACGGCCCGGATCGGCCGACTATATCCTATAGCTGCCATATAACTGATTGATCGGAAATGGTATAACTTTGGTGTTTTTAGAGTTAGAGAGTTCAAATTTGACATGAAAGCTATTTTTGGCAAATTATTACGTCATGCCAAATTTCATAAGGATCGGCCGACTATATCCTATAGCTGCCATATAACTGAACGATCGGAAATGACCCAACTTTCGTGTTTTTGAAGATAGAAAGCTGGAATTCAATACAGATTATATTTTTAGTCATTTGATCCAACCTACTAAATTTCATTAGGATCGGCCGACTATATCCCATAGCTGCCATATAACTGAACGATCGGAAATGGTATTTGGTAGAAATATCAACTTTCGTATTTTTGAAGATAGAAGTTTGGGACTTTTTTTTAGATTTTATATTATAATAAATTGGGTTATATATTCCTATTCCCATAAGGATCGGCCAACTATATCCGATGTTTGCGATATATATCCGGTTTTAACTGCAAGGGTATATAAACTTCGGCTCCTCCCGAAGTTAGCTTTCCTTTCTTGTTTATCTTGGAAATAGAACACTTAATACACTTATCTTAGTTATATATATTTTTTGTAGTACGTGTCCTAGACGTACATACTTGAATTTCTAAACATGCGCGCAAATAACATATTTGAACAGTCGGACCAGTTGAGAAGAGATCTTGTTTAATTTTCATTTTTTCTCTCTCGAGTATAGTGAGTTTTTTAATAAACAAATAATATAAACAAATGATAATAAACAAATAAAAAAGAGGAGCTTGATGTCAACTGATGTTATGCACGTAAAGAAATAGAGGTTATACTTTTCCAACCTCTAATGACAGTTTATTTGACATTCTTATGATTTAAGATGGTGTCTTTAGATAAGTCTAAAAATTGAAATATTTTTGTCTGTGTAAGTCTATTTGGTTACCCAGAGAGGGAAACACACAATATAGACTCCAGACTCTACATGCTATATGTTTGCTATACGACCTCCGAATTCAATTAACGACTTTCCCGGGGCAGAAGTGATTCGGAGAAGGATTTCCGAGAGTTATGGTCTGGAGAGAGTTAAGTGAAGTGATCATGAGTGGAATGGGAAGAGGGTGTTGTAATTCAATTAGAGCCTCTTATACAAAACGAATGTACATATGCGATTGTTGGGAAACAGATTTATATTTATTATGATCGACAGAAATGTATCTACAAAATCGAAATTGATAATTGATCATTTAGGTGATTTGAAACCAAGACCTTGGCCATAATTCTAGAGTATATTTTTATTAAAATATAAAATGAAACTTACTTTTTTGTAAAATATATGAGCCAATGGATGTTCGGGTACGAACTATGTTATCCGCTATCTGGAACTACATTCCTTAAACTATAAAGTTTGTAGGTTAGCGCGGTTTCTGCCCAATCGACCGAGGGGCGCAGCCGCATAACGTACGGCTCCCGGAGATACGGATACGGATTTCGGAGATACATTCGAGTTTATATATGAATAGGATCGGATTTCATTAAATCAAAAAACAAAGTGCCATAGGACCTAGGACAAGGACTAACTTCAACGCGAAGAGAACGCCATTTTGAGTTTAGGAAAAGTAATATTTCTTTAATCTTTTATATAAAATAATAAAGGAATAAAGGAAGAAGAAAAGAAAGTTCATTTAGAAGACGTTTAGAAGAATTCAAAAGAAAGGTTTCGCTATCAAAACCATCAAATGTATAAAGATAGGGTTTATATACCAACCGTTCTGCTATCAACAGAAGCTTTAAGCTAAAGATACAATATTTCGTGATGATATGAAATAACGGACATGGTTCGAAACTTCAATTTTATACATTAATGGAAAATACTTGAGAAGCGATTTGATATAAAATCGATCAAGCATATTCCATACCTCCAAACCTCATACCTATCACATCTTACAATACCTTATAATAAACTCCCATATCTTACCATAACTTGCTATACCTTATCATGAATTTCCATACCTTTACCATACTCTACAAAATCATAAAATTCTCTCACAATCATAATACCCCGTAATACCCATGAGTAAAAACTTGAGACAACTCAAAACCAATACAGATACACTCACTAACACAAACACAAATATTATTTCAAATACATATGTGTATGTAGATAAGAAACACCTTCAAAGATAAGGCTGTAACGAACGATCGCTCTTATCAGCTAGCTTTTCCAGAGCACACGGAGAAACGGAGAGCTAAAAGCTAAAAGCGGCACAAGAGAGAACGACAAAACATGAACAAAGAGTGAGAGGGAATAGGCAAGAAGAAGCGGGCAAAGGCAGAAGAACCAACACGACGATTAATATGAGTGAATAATTGGCCAAAGGCGGGACTGTCTGGAAATCATGCGGAATATCAGAAATCTCAAGGATCCACCCATGGATGGCCCATATAAATGGCTGATTTGGCTCTGCCTCCTACTTCCGGTGATGGGGGTGGCGGCGGAAGAACTGGTCAAGGTCACATGCACCGAAAATGATACCACCTTTACCTGTGATTGCAACAACAATAACCAGGTGAGTCATTAGTTGTGGATAGAACCCTATTCTTTTGTCATATCCTTGGAGAAGATTAAGTTCTAGAGAGCATCTCTTAATACTTTTTTTTAAGGAGAAGGTATTCTAATTTTTTTTATGGTTTCTTAAATAAATATTTGAACAAAAGCTTTGAGACATGCGTTACTCATTTTAATTCTAATTCTTTGTTCATTTTAAAGAAAATAAACACCAACCAAAAAGTTCATTTGTGTCAAGAGTTCATTTTAAGGTTCATTTGTCCGCTGGAGGATCCTAAAACCTCAAGTTTCTATTTCTTTAAAGCCTTTTATTTTATTTTATTTGAATCTCTTTATATTTTATTTTAAAAAAGCCAGCCCCACCTAAGAGTTCATTTATTAAGAGAGTTCATTCTTAAGTTCACTTGTCCGTAAGTGTTCATCTGTCCGCAGTCATGTCCTTTGGTTTATTTCTTTTAAATCCAGTAATATCCAAACCCTTATCTTCTACTTACAGCCCATGGTCCTGCCAAAGTTACACGGATCCTTCTACCAGGTAGAGGTACGCAACTGTCCCGATCTTGTTGTGGAGGCCAATTGCCTGGCGGACACCCAGGGTCTGCGCAAAGTGACCTTTCGGAAGATTGGACAGCTAGTGCTCAGGGAGTTCGCATTGAGTGTGCCCCGGGATGCCAGCAATAAGGCTCTCATTGTGGATTTCGAACAGACGAACCTCAAACTCATCGAATCGCATGCGATCAAAGGTAACATCGAGGAGATCTCATTCGTGGGCGGACGCATCGACCAGATGCTACCCTTCGGATTCACCACCACCAAAAATAGTGCCATACTGCTCAAGTTTGACGGAGTAACGGTCCAGCGGATCGAAAGTCAGGCCTTTAAGAAGTTCTCCGTGGAGCAAATGACAATAACGAACTGCCAGTTTCTGGGGAATCTGCCCACTCGCGCCTTCTACGAACTGGAGGTGCTCCACGAGCTGAGTATCAAGGGGAATCGCTTCCAAGAGGTTCACTCCCATGCCTTCTCCTTCAAACGTATGTATAAATATTAATCCTTTGAAATCCTATCTAATTTTCTACCCCTAGTTGTCTCTAAATTGAGCCTCAGTGAGAATCACTTTGCTGCCGTGGATGGGGAATGGCTGGAGGCCCAGATCCGGGACGCGGTGACCCTCCGTGCCAACGACTTTGGGGCCACCAGTGAGATAGCCTTCCGCAGCCTCACGGTACACCGTTCCTACCAGCTCAGCGAACGCCTGGAGCTTCGTTTCCACAACAACACCATCAGGAGCACCCGGCCTGGAGCCGATCCCCTGGCCACGGAGGTGAATGACCGAGGAGTGGTGACCGAGCCGGGACAACCTCTACGCTTCGACGATCGTTTCGCTCTCAGTGTTCGGGACTTGAGGTACGAGAATACCTGGAGCTGTGAGCAGCTGGACAGGAGTGTGGAGCCTCCATTGCCGCGATCGGAATTCTTCCGCCAGCACAGCGATCAGTTGATGTTCCAGACACCGGATGGAGCAGTTGGTGGCGGAGTTGGAATGATGCCACTCCGTACTCTGATCCCGGAACAGTGCCGGGAACGCAGCTATACGGCGTATATTGTGGCGGGAAGCGTACTCCTTGGCCTCCTGCTGATCCTACTGCTCCTCTTGCTGTGGTGGCGAGTGGTGCAGAGACGTAAACGTCGGAAACTGGATGTAGTGCAGCCGGAACCGCGCACCTACAAGGAGACCCAAATCGTATACCAAATCGAAAATGCTGGCCTGCTCAAGACTGATTTGTAGAAGTCAAGTTGGAAAGACATAACCATAAATATATAAACACAACATAGCTACAAGAAGCTAAAGGAACGGATGGTAATCCAAAATGATGACCCACCATCACCACCACCCATACAGAAACCACCTATTATGAGTGACCTTTCGCTGTACCAAAATCATAGCCTACACAAGCCTAGCTCTAAAGTATATAATTATGTATTCATATATCGTAATATCCTTGTATATAGTCGCATGTAGAAATGTGTAAGGAGGTGTTTCAAAAGCACCAACAATACCATTTATAAAATAAAACAATCGAATGCCAAAAAAAAAAACAAAAGCAACATGTGTCTTTATCCAAAAACAGCATTTTCTAAACAAAATGTAAATATTTTTAGATATTTTATAGACATGGCATGTTTCAAATGAGAGAATTTATAGTTATAGTGACCTTATTCAAGGTCTATTATATCCCCAACTTATATATAGTTCCGTTTCAGTTGTATTTTCCATAAAAATCCATAACAATTCTTTTAATAATCGAATTTTTGCAGAAAACCATATTTTCAGAAACATGTCCAAGCTTGTCAGGACCTATTGTGAATACCTGCTTCATTGGTCTCATCTTCTACCTGGCATAACCTTAAAATCTTCATTATAAACCCATGATACTTACCCTATAGGTAGATATGACTCCAAGGCCTGATGCACTGTCAGGTGAGGCTCCGACAAGGCAAATCCCTTCGAGAGCAAGGCATGATGGGCGCTGATCGTCTCCTCAATGCCACTCATATCCTCCACATCCTTGTCATCTGCAGACCCAATTATAATCAAATATATATATTTATACTTCAAGATCCTCCTCACCTGGTAGATTCAGTTCCTTCTTCATCAGATTCGCACTACACATGCCCCCCAAATAGGCCAGTTCCTGCTCCAAACGTATCAGACACGAGTTGCTGGCATTGATCTGAAAGAGATGGACAATCACAGATTAGAAAGAGATGGAAAGACCCCGAAATAATAATGGGCTTACCGCTGTGGGATTGTCGTATCCCACCACCAGGCACTTGAAGCCATAGCGATTGTTGTGCGGATCTTGGGCGTACAAGGAGGCAGTTTCCAGCGAGAATTCCACACAGTTGCCGGGCAGGATTAGGACATTCTGAAGCCAGTTGGAGGCGCTATAGGGATACCAATAAGATTACAAAAAAAAGACCAGAATTAAGGGTTACTCACGTATTGAATTTCTTGACCATAATCCACTCCCTTTCTGTGGTGTCCTGACTGCGCAGGGGAATGGCACTCCCGGGAAGATTTCCGGGCGAACGACAGCAACTGGCCATGGTGAGTTGGACGCCAGCAGATTTCACTGTGCCTGCACCGCCACCAGTGGACCCTCCCGTTCCTGGGCGCCTTCTCTCCTGTCCCTGGGCATCGAGATGCTCGCAGTACTCCTCCGCCTGGCAGCCAGCCTGCATTTGGGCCGGCGATGGTGGCGGTCTCATCGGGATGGACAGTAGAAGGTAGTCCTCCAGCTGGGCGGTGCCACATTGCGGATCGAACTCGATGGTGAGCCACTGAACGCAGGGCGGGAACTCGACGCGGTAGCAACTGATGCTAGCACTCCGGTACGGATGGTCGCTCTCCACGATGCAGTAGTGGTTGCTAGTGGTGGAGCTGGCGGAGCTGGACGAGCCAGATGAGCCGGAGGTGGGAAACAGAGCCGGCTCCGGCTGGCGCTGCTCCTTGGACACGTGCAGCTGGTTCAGGGCGGCAATGTGCGGGAGTATCTCCTTGATGAGGCCCAGGATCTGGACGGAACTCTTGGGATCGCTGCACGCCAGATTGGCAATGTGGGCATAGACCAGCGGCAGCAGTATGTGGAACATGTTGGAGGCGGAACGATTGAAGACCTCGAGCAGCTGGACGGCCGCCACTTGGCTGGACACATTCCCAACACCACCGCCTCCTCCTCCACCGCTGGCGGCCGCCTCCAGGGGCGCCTCCTCCGAGTCCGAGTGCTGGATCTGCTGGGCCATCGATTGCTCGGCCAGGTCGTAGTCCGTGGTCCGTTCGTTGCCATTGATGGGCACACTCTGGCACTGACTCTGGCTCTGACCGTTCCGTAAGTCGGCCGCCGTGTCCTCCACCCCGATTTCCGTGGCTCCGATCTCGATTTCCATCTCGAACGGATTCGTGGAGCGCTTGTCGAACTTGAGGGTCTCCATGATGCCCTTGGAGAAGGACTCAATGCGCTTGCCCAGGTCCCGGGCGGTGGACAGCTGCGGATCCACAACCACAGTCGGTGGCAGGGCGGCTGTCCGCGAATTGTTGGCCCAATTGATGTCCATGTGCTCCTCGATGGGCGTGATGTTGTGCTCCGAGTCGATGGTCTGGGTGTGATTGGAGCTGTTGTCCGAGGGGGAGCACGAGGCGGCCATGGCGTTCCTGGCCAGAATCAACAGCTCGGTGCATTTCTTGGTTATGTCAGCGGCTATCTGGAGGGCAGTATCCCGAGTGGACACCTCATGGGGGCCCAACAGCAGCTGCCTATCTTCCGGGATGGATGGTGCTCCTCCGCCGGGTGCTGTAGATGATCCAGCCACTCCTCCTCCTCGTCCCGATGGTCCACCAACGTCCTGCTTTACGGGCGTGCTGTAGTAGAGGATGCAGGGCAGTTGTCCCCGGGCCGGAGTCGTTCCATTGAAGCTCAAGTCGCAGGCGTAGTAATGGAACTGGGTGCCACACGGTCCTCGGACCACCGGCATCCCAGCATCGCCCGAGCACGTCCTAGCGCCCTGCGAGCACAGTCTCAGGGCATATCGGGCGTTCTCCTTGATGTGGACCGGATGATCGAACTTGATCTCCGCCAGATCGTTGTGCACCGCCTCCTGGTCGTAGGTGCCGGACACCGACTCCAGGGTCTCCCACTTGTGTTGCGGCTGCAGGTCCGCCGTATTGTCGAACAGCAACTCCAGCTGGTAGTCGTAGCTGCCGGAGCCGGAGTAGATCATGGCACCGGCTATGGCCACTCCGGGTCTGTCCACCGAGAAGGCAATGGCATCCGGGCCGAAGTTCCCCGTGTTCCAGGTACGGCTCACGTCGCAGCGGGCAAACCGGGAGCCCGTGGAGTGGAGGGTACGTGGCGGCAGGAACATCTTGTCGTACTCTCCCAGCGCCGTCTGGTAAACGATCTCGGCCAGAACTCTGGCCAGCAGATGGCAGCAATTGTCGATCAGTCCCTGGTTCACGCCACACTCTTTGCCGACGCCAGGATAGCTGCCGCCCAGGCTGCCAAAGCTCCGGCTATAGATGGCCTCGATCCGGGAACGTATCGGACTGGCTATGATGTCCAGCAGCCGCACCAGCACATCCTTGAAGGTCCACGAGTTGCTCAGAAAGTCGCTCTTCTCCTGCTGCGTCCGGTATATCATCTGTTCGACGAGTATCGGATACGGATGGGCCTCCGTCGACGAGAGCATGGGCAGGCCGGAGTTGTCACTCGGACTGATGATGGACTGCCTCTCGTTGCCGGCGGCACTCAGCAGCGAAAATGTGGCCCGCAGCTTGACGTTGGGGGAGCACAGACCCGCCAGTATGGCGCTCAACAGCCGGGAGTGCAAAGCTCCGCGATCCATCTGGGCCAGGAGGTCGCACAGGCAGTTCCACTTCAGCGAGGATGTCGGATAGAAGGCATCGAAACAGGCCACAAAGCTCAGATGGCACTCGTCCAGGATTTCCAACACTAGAACATAACCTGAAAGTTAAACAAACCGATTAATTTTAAAATCTAGTAGGCTGTGGTAACAAGTAGGCCTTGGACCAATGATTTTTTGAAGGAGCCCAGAATGAGCTCCTCAAATCATCAGTCTCACACAGCCCGTCCAGGCAGCAACATCTCTAGTCTTTAAGCTAAAAGTGGAATTTTCTAAAAAAATGAAAAACCAAAAAAAAAATAATAAAATTTCAAATAAAAAACCAAAAAAAAAATTGAAATAATATTAGGTGAGTGAAAAAAAAATAAAAATAATAATAAATTTATGTCTGTAGTCGGATTTTCCGACTTTATTATACCCGGTACCAAACTCTATCACCCTCACTTGTACTAAGATTTAAAGTTTAAATGTAGGAACCAATTTTTTTGAAATTTAATTGTGCTTCAAAAAAAAATTCAGTAGGAAAGCATAATAAGCCCTTTAACTCTTCTAAAAATTGTCCGATTAAGTTGAATTTTTATTATAAGCCTTTGAAATGGTTTAACATTAAAAAATAAAATATACCCTTATACTCAAGAGTACCAAGTATTAAAATTTTGGCAAAAATAAATAATATTAATATTATAATTGAAATATTTGAATTTGTTTCTCAGCTTCTCAAATTTTTAATAAACCACATCTGAACTTAAACACAACCCACAAAAAAAAAACTATAAAAACTAAGCCTGCCAAATTCAATAATCATAAGCTCTCTCACCAAATAAAAAAAACTACAAAAAAATAACCAAAAAAATTTTGTATAATCTAGTAGGCCATGTCTCAAGCTGTCAACAATTTTTGGAAGGAGCCCGACCCGAGCTCACAAAATCATCAGTATCACACGACCCCTGGACGGGGTAACAACTAGTCTTTAAGCATAAAGTGGAAATTTTTAAAAAATATAAAAAATCAAAAAAAAAAATTATAAAATCAAAAAAATCAAAAAAAAAAATTAAAAAAGTATACTAACAAACTTCAAAATTTCAAGTAAAAACTGGCACACTATTGAAGGTAAGCTAAAAATAAATAATAATTTTTTGGAAAAAAAATTAATTTTTATTTGGTTTTCAGAAAAATCTCCCTGACATAAAATGTAAGCTGCAAACATTTCAAGTCCAGCACTAGGACTCAAAATTTTCAGTATCACACAACAAATAATCAAAATTTCAAGTTTTTATAAAAAAAAAATTGCAAAAAACCCAAAAAAAATCGTAAAATGAAAAAAATCAAAAAAAAAAAAGGTAAGTTAAAAAAAATAATACTATATAGATAATACCTATGACTAATGAATATTTTTAATAGAAACTAACTCTACTAGCAAGTGTCTCTGTTTAATACTGACATAAATATACTTCAACTACCTCGACAAAGTACGTATAAGAATATTAATAACTAATATTTATTATTAATATTAAATTTTCTGAAGGAGCCCAGCACAAGCTCTCAAAATTCTCAGTTTCACACAACCACTCATCAAAGCAACACCTACCAAAGGAGATTGTGTAAAAAAAAAGGAAAAATCAAAAAAAAAATTATAAAACGAAAAAATCAAAAAAAAAAATATAAAAATTATAAAAAATCAAAAAAAAATATTAAAACTAAAAAAAAAATCTAAAAAAAAAATGTAACTACTAGCCGGATTATCAAAATTCAAGTCATACTGCCTAGATCAAAATTCTAAGTAGCACACTACCTAGGATTAAGCATAAAGTGGAAATTTTTAAAAAATCAAAAAAATCAAAAAAAAATTATAAAAAATGAAAAACCCAAAAAAATAGTAAAATGCAAAAAGCCAAAAAAAAATGTAACCTAGGATTAAGTAAAAAGTGAAATAATATTGAAGGTGAGTTCAAGAAAAATAATATATATTTTTACAAAAATTAATTAATTAAATTTTATTTATTTCTCAGAACGGGAGACAACACACTACCTCCATAAAGGGTATGTATAAAAATATTAATTAATAATAATTAAATTAATTAATAATATTTTTCAACTATTAGGGGCGTATATTTTGTATGCTTTTGTATGCTTTTATATGCTTTTGTATAAAATTTCTACCCGCAACCGTAAATATATAAACTGCCAAGTTATGCTTTATTCGCCATCGATGATATGCTCCTCTTTGCGAACGGTAAACTAATATTAATATTAATTTTAAAAAATTAAATAATTAATTATATTTATTATTACTAGACACGCATACTACGAATATGTAGGGTAACGCCGAGAGGAATTTCCCCCACCTTAAGAAACTGCACCCCCACGTAAGTATTACTATATATAGATATATAATTATAATATAATAATAATATACCTTCCACAGTATAGGCTATATACTAATACCACTAATCACTCATAGTACTTGGATGTATATACCAGAGAGTACATCCTAAGTACAACTAGGTTAAGCCGAGACACTGGAACTTCGCATATAGGTAAACTGTCTAGCTTACACGAGCTGCAAGGCTATACACACACTAGGTGTCACTGGATAATGGATCAATGGATCACGTGATAAATTATTGGTCCCAAAAATGTTCTTCGCATGGACAAGAGACTCAAGGAAACCGGATATGTCAACCAACCGAATATGTCAACCGCCCGAATGTGTCAACCACCCGAATGTGACAGTCACCCAAATATGAAAACCATCCGAATATGAAAAACTCGCAGATAGGACATGAACATGAATATGAAGGTTGTTTTAGAAGAGAGATGATACATGATAGAGAAAAGACAGGGATTCAAATAGGAAGGTCTCCACCTCAGGTATGTGTATAATTAAATTTTAAAAATCTCAAACCTACCTTCATCTGTGGCTATATCCTTGAAGATGTCATCACAAAAGATGCCAATGAGGAGAGCCCGTACATTACCGATGCATTCCGCTAGCTGAATATTCTCCATATTGGTCTTACGGAGAGTTAGCGGAGTGCCTCCAGTCGCCTGTGCGGACGATGAAAATAGTAGAACCCCCCCAGAAGTCGAACTACCAGAGGCAGCCGCTGAGGAGGAGGACGAGGACGCGCCCGCAGCCATGATGCCAGATGATACAGATGGCATCGAAGATGGCGACGAGTCCCCATAGTACTTCGACATGAGGTGGCCCTTGATATGGCTCCTGTCTGGAATTGTTAATTAATCTTTTTAACTTTTCGGTTTAAAAACAAATGTCAAAAATTTTCAAGTTTAGTTGTAATTGCATCTTTTCGAAATTTGTAAAAATTGTATAGTTTTTAAAAACTTAATATTTTCAAAATTGAGGAATAAATCAAAATTTTAAGTGAACCTTTTGTCTTTCCTTTTGACTTGGCCAGGGCATTGGATACCCCATTGGAGGAGGAGGAGGAGCTCTTCTGCGGATATATCTCGTTGGTGTACTTTCGCAGCAATCTCAAACAGGACTTGATGACATAGCCGAGGTACTGCAGCGACTGTTGGAGCTGCAGGGGCCGAGTCCGATCCCTCTCCTCACGCAACTGCGTCTTGAAACAGTCCCAGGACCAGCTGAGCAACACCACCAGACTCTCGAAGCACTCCCGACTAACGCTATTGGCGAAGGCGCGCGATATCTTCTGGACCGGATCGGCGTCCATTTGGGCCGGGGTTTGCTTACAGTCCTGGGTGACCAGGCGGTAGAGGATGGCGGGTATTTGGCCGGAGTTGACGTCGGTGCCGTTGTTGGCCTTTTTGCTGCTCTTGAAGGAGAACACCACCTGGTCCTCGGTAGTGACGGATGCCTGGCCGCAGGAACCGCAATCGGACGAGGGTCCGGCTATGCGCGCCCACACCAGATACCAGCGTCCGGCCGCGGCACTCACTGGCTTGGGTAGCAGGATGTGATGCTTGCTCCGCGCCCCGCATTCGTACGGCACCTCCTTGGTCTCGCTGATCAGGACGCCCTCCTTCTCGTAGCCACCGCCATCTCCGCCCAGATCATACAGTTTCAGCTTGCAGCTGTACTCCCCCCGGCCGCCAAACATCCCGAAGCCGCAGATCACAATGTCGGTGTCCGCCGCGAACCGTATGGCCTCCACACTGTGTCCGGAGTAGCCCCAACCGCCGCCGAAGTTGTCGAACCGACTGACCACCTGGTAGTCGCCGCCGCTCTGCGTCTCCGCCGTCTGCTGCGTCTGCTTGGGCAGCGGCTGCTCGAAGCAGCCGGGGATGTTGTCCTGCGCCGAGGTGAGGATGTCCAGGCAGGCCAGGAGGTTGAGCGAGGCCTGCGACCTGGCCACCCGCGAGTCCGGGCGGCTGGGCAGCGATAGTTCCGGCGAGAGCAGTGCCCGGTAGTTGGCAGAGTTCTGGAAGGGATTACAGATTGGATTAGTGGTCCTTCAGTAAGTATCCTCTACTAACCCCATCGTTTTCGTTGATGTCGCTGGCCACCACATTGTGACACCGCAGCTTCCTGGACACTCCATCGAACACCCAGAGCACATTGTAGGTGGGATCCATGGCGAAGGCGAGTTGTGGCGGCGACGCGACCGGATCCGGGGAGTTGGAGCCTCCTCCGGCCTCCTGCCGGCTTTGCCTTCCGCCTCCACTGACGACGCCGCGGCGCTGGCGCGGAGTAGAGGCCGTCCCTGCTGCTGCTGGACTCGGGGCCGCTGCTCCTCCACCGCCATCGACTTGCTGCTCTTCGAATATCTGATTCCGGCCCTCGTGCATGCTCCGCGACATCTGCTCGTTGATGGGCACTCCGGCCGTGGCCGTGCCCGCCAGAGCGGTGAACAGCGAAGAGGAGGAGCCAGTGGCTGGCACAGGCGGTGGATCGCTGGCCACTGGTGTCACCACCACGTCCACGTTCCGGTTGATCTCCTGGAGCGGCTGGCCCGGCGGCTGGGCCTGCATCAGCTGGTCGAAGTTGGTCTGGCCGCGATAGTGGGCCGTGCAGCTGCCGTCCCGCCGGTTGATGGAGAGCGTGTGGAAGGAGAGCGGGATGCTGGGGATGAGCACTGTTCCGGGAGGGGAATCATTAGTTGGTGATCTCCTTGCGGGCACACTCTACTCACAAATGGTCTTCTTGTTGGCCACCACGTGCATCTTGGGCAGCATCTGGGCGGTGATCAGGGACTCGTCTATCTTGATGAAGGTCTGATCTCCGTTGGCTCCGATCCAGGTCACCTTCTTCCCATAGCTAGGACCCAGGCCGCTGAAAAGGACAAGAGACGAATTAGCTTCAGCACCAGGACCTTCGGAAGAATCCTTCCACTTACAACACGGCTCCGGGTGAGCAGTTCCAGAGGAACTTCTGCCGCTGGGTGAGTATGGGGCCGCTCAAGTTGGGCATCAAGGGGGGCAGTTCCTTGGAGCCGCCGGGCAGGACAGCGTCCTTGGCCGGCTCCCCGCCAGCTGGGGGTGCTCCTCCGACCGGAGATTCATCTTCCTGGCCGGATACCGAGGATGTCTGCGGCTTCGGACCAAAGTCGCTGGGCAGGCGACCCAGCTGCCCCTTCTGGTAGTTGCCGAAGGTGTACACCATGCCCTTGGAGGTCAGCAGGACGGTGTGGTTGCTTCCGGCAGCCACCTGGCTGATGGCGCCCGCAACCTGGACGCGCACAGGACCGCTCACCGGCTGCAGGTCGCCGCTGCCCAGCTGGCCGTACTGGTTGCTCCCAAAGGTGTACACCTCGCCGGCCAGCGTCAGCACCACCGTGTGGTGGAGTCCACAGGCCACCTGGACCACCGGCGAGGAACTGGGCAGCTGCAGGAGTTGCGGTGCTAGTGGCGCCACTCGAGGCGGATCTTTGTCCAGGTCGGTGGGCGTGGCAGCTCCACCGCCGGCCGCCCCTGTCTCCAGTTCGCCCTTGCGCTCCTTCCGCCGCATGATGAGGGTCTTGGAGCGCTGCTGTCGCTGCTGGACGTCGCTGGGCAGAGGTTTCATCTCGATCTTGGCTGCAGGACGAAGGAAAATGTTAGAATTCTGGAGGAAAGTGGCGTCATCCAACCAACTTACTGCTCTCGTTGTCCTGGAGGGCGATGCAGGAGGCGCACAGGCCGCACTTGGCACAGCCCGCATCCCCATGACCGCAGGGGCAGATGCTGCCCGCCTGCCGCTGCTCCAGGGGCACGTTCAAGGCCGAGACACAGCTGACATTGTAGCCGGTGCACTCCCGACAGATGACGCACACCCGGCACTGGCCCTGCACCAGATTGTGGTCGTCGTAGTCGCACAGCGTGGAGAAGTCGAGCTTGAGGCGCTTGTCCAGTGGCAGCAAGGATGCAAAACAGGCGGCAGCCGCCGAGGAGGAGGAGGCGAACGATGGCACATCCTTGACCGGCTGCAACTTGTTGAATATCCTGCCGCACTGACCCTTGTTGTTCAGCCCGAACGAGAACAGCTGCCCCTTGGCGTTGAGGGCCACACAATGGGCCTTTCCCAGCGCCACCTTGGTCACGTGCTGGTCCAGCAGTTCGCTAACGAAGCCCATGGCGTCGCAGTGGGCCGTGTCCTTGCCGTACATGATGAGCTTCCCGTTCTTGGTGACGAAGGCGGAGGTGCCATTATTGCAGGCCGCATGCACCACGACATGTCCATCGATCTTGGTCATCTTCTTGGGCTTCACGGCCTTGGGTTGTCGCCGGTTCTTGCTGCTGTCCCCATCCTCACCGCGTCGTGCCGTCCCAGCAAAGTAAACGGTTCCGTCATCGTTCACCAGCAGGGCGTGGATGCCGTCATGCCCCACCGCCACATGGACTATGTTGGCCGCCTTGGAGATGATCAGTTCGGTGAGCTTGAGGGTCGGTGTCCGACCCACGCACTTCAGGCCCAGGGCCGCCGACTTGCCGTAGTAGTAGACCCGTCCGTTGCTGGCCCGCACCAGGCCGAACTCCTTGCCGCAGGCCATGCCCAGGACATCCACGTCCGAGTCCCGGCACGGAGCCGGTAGCTTTGGCTCGAAGCTGTTGTGCGCCGACTGGATGCGCTGGATCTGGTGCTGGTTGAGCAGCTCGTCCTCGAAGGCCGCATAGCCCAGGGTGCGGAACTTCTTCCTGGCCAGCTGGAGGGGCAGCTCGAACGGCGGCGGATCGCTGTTGTAGCTGTTGTGGTAGAGGTTCAGTTTCTTCACCACCAGAGTGTCCTGCAAAGGAAGCCATTAGTACTTGGAGATCTACAGCCCAATCCTGTCCAGCACTTACATCCCGATTGCTGCAAATGGCGTGCAAGGAGTCGTCATCCGTGAAGAGGACATAGTTGAGGCCCTCGCGCATATGAAGCATGCTCAGGGGACTCATCGCCTTGATGGCCAGCGTGTCCAGACCCACCAGCTGCAGCTGATCCCCGGCACTGCGTCGGCAAGTCCGCCGGAAGTACAACTGCCCGCCACTGTATCCCAGCCAGGCACTGCGCTCCCGACTAAAGTCCTCGTTCTGGGCATAGACATGACCCTTGTAGGAGCCCCCGAACCCAGTGCCGATCTTCAGCAGCGTTCCGCCGTACAGTAAGTATACAAAGACCCCGTCACAGGCCATGGCGGGTGCGGTTGTGGGAGCTCCGCTTCCCCCAAGGTGTGGTAGCTTCAATGGGAACTGAAAAAAGATTCTCATTTTAGGGAAAAGGACTCCAGGACTCCATCCCTCCATCACTTACCTCGTCAATCAGCGAGTTGTGCGGCACTCCGTGGCTATGGAAGTCCGGCCGGGTGGGCTTGTTCAGCGCCGCACTGATCACCGTGTGCTGCAGAGTGGCCAGCACCACCGGCAGCTGGACGATCTGAGCGGAGAGCTGGCGCGGAGTCATCAGCATGGCGGCGATGGCCTTCAGCATCTTGCCGGTGTCGCCGCGTGCGATGCACAGGCCGAGGAGGGCGGCACAGGCCATGGCCGACCAGTTGGCCTCCGCTCCGGTGGCCGAGTTGAGGGCCGCCGGCATGGTGGCCAGATCCAGCAGCAGGTCATACAAAGGATTGATTAGCTCCTCCGGTTCCAGCTTGAAGCTCTCCGGCTGCTGGCCCTGGATGACGTCGAGGAGGGCCTTCAGCGCCTTGGTGCAGAGCAGGGGATGGACGTGACGGGCGTCGGCTATCAGCTCGAAGAGACTCCTCAGCCCGGCGCCCACGATCAGGGGCACAGTGGCATAGACCGGCTCCCGTTCGGTGGGCTCCTCCGTGTCCGAATCGGCATCACTATTGGCGCTATCCCGGCGCGATCTCTTCTCGCTGCCCGGCAATCCTGGTCCACCGCCAACAACAACAGGTGCCGGTGCTGGCGGCCCGCCCGGAGCCATCCGTCCACCATCCCCGCCGGCGGGAGCTGCTGCCGCCGCCGCCAACGCCAACTGGGCATGGCAGGAGCAGTCCAGGATATTGCTGGCCATGCAACTATGCTCGCACATGGCACAACAGGAGGAGCTAAGTGGTCCTCCCCTCCATTTCTTCGACCCGGAGCCGGAATGCCCGCCATTAGGACCACCCTCCTGGAACAGGGCATAGCGGGTTTCCGCCTCCAAGACCGTGGACCGAATGGCCGAGAAGACGGCAAACTTGGAGGCATTCGGATCCAGTTCTATGTGCGCCACCGGGAACGAGGGCAATATCATCAGTTGCTCCTTAACTAGTGGGGGATCCAAAGGATTCACCAGACCACCGGCACCGGCATTCCCCTCCAGAACCGCAGCAGCGGCAGCAGCAGCCATGGCGGCAGCAGACTTTTCCTTACGACTTTTGCGTTTCGTGAGGGCTTTTCGTTCATGTTGGAGTTTTCTAAAAAAAAAAAAAAATTAACAAAATATTTTAATATTTTTCTCAAAAAAAATTAAAGTTTTTTTTTAAAGAAATTCTAACAAAAACTTGTTGAATGTTTTGGAAAACTTTATTGGAAAACCCACTTGAAACTTTTGGAAAACATTGTTTTTTTTTAATATTTTTCAATATTTTTTAAGGACCCGCTGGTCCCTACGACTTGACGAAAATCTAAAGCTTCTAAAAGTTTATCTTAATTTTAAAAATAGTTTTAATTTTAAACACTTTTTTTCAAATAAAGAAGCTTTAAAGCTCTTTTCCCAGAAAATGGAAAGTGGGCGTTTTATTTTCAAGGACTTTTCCTTGAAACGCCCACGAAGTTTCCCAGGTGCTCTCAGTGGGTTAATGCAGGTCGCAACGGGATGCGCTCCCATCCATCATCACTCCCTCCACCCCTTTTAGATGCTTTCTCCCTCTCCCAATCAGCTGTTTGTTAAGGATTCCCAATCAGCTGTTTTTGAAGCGGGGCTGTCCACTTCCGCCATCGTTTCAACCCCAAAAGCCTCACTATGTTGGAATAACGGAGCACTAAGGGTTGGAAGACCCAGATTGAGAGAAACGAAGGCGAGTGCAGCGACATTGCCGACAACGATCGATTTTTCCACCCCGGTTGGATTCAAAAAAAAAAAAAAAAAAAAACATATTTTTTGGGGGATGGCTGGTGGGATGGGTGTTGCATTGGACGGAAAAAATGCACAAATCCTGCCGGATGCTGCAGGATACTGGATACTGGCTGGCGGGGATTACCTGCGTGTACTGTTCGTGTACAGCTCGTAGAAATGGTCGCCGTACTTCATTGGATTCAATAGGCCCACCATGGCGCCCGGAATTTCGCCGAAATCCAGTTTCTCCAATCGATATTTTCTATAGCTCTTTTTCCAAATTCTTCTCTCCTTTTTCTTCTCTCTTTTTTTATTAATTAATATTTATTTAATATTATCTTGTGGGTTTATTGTGTTTTTTTTTTTTAATTTTTGGCTAATTTATATTGCACTGCGTTGCTTTGGGAACGTAAAGTGATATTTTATTTTATTAAAAAATAACTAGAAATTTAACTATTTTTCATTGGCCTTGGCTTCTGCCATTTGCATTGCTCCTTTTTTTTGTCATTTCTCCGCCTTGCCATTTGCCGTGTTTTGTGTGGACGCGATGGTTTTTAGCACTATATAGCCATTTGATCCTTTATCCTTTATATCCTTTGGCCTTATTTTTTAATTTTTTTTGGTCACCGCACAACAACAACAACAGTTAGCCACCGAAACGAAAGCGAGAACGAAAACCTTTTAGCCGTTAACGGTAAACGGCAAACACGACGGCGGCGGAACAACGGGACAATGAGAGAGAGCACCGCGAAAACGAAAGTTTTTTTTTAATGGTAAAACGTGTGTTGGACAATTCAAAGGATATAAACAGTGTTGTAAAGCGAATGCAGTTTGATCCTTTGAGGCGGTATGAAAAGTAAAGCATACTTTCGGGGATAAAAATATAAAATCTATAATTTATGATCATTCTAATGATTTTCATCCTTTTTTAAATTAAGTATAAGAGTAGATCTTAGTTTTCTAGTTTTTAGCTAAAATAATAACATTTGAATCATAGCAGGCCATTTATTTCAAACACTGTAAACAAACTACTTCATTTTCGCATGTTTTAAAATGCCTATTTATAGGATTTTTACGAAATAAACTTCAAATTGAATGCTAAAACTTGAACACGGGCTTTTTAAACCGCCAGCTGACCCGCCAGTGTTTCATAACGCCAAACACTGCATCCGAGTTGGCAGCATCGCGCCGCAGCAGCTGTCACAACGGCAAGAAGAAGAACTTTGACAGCTGCGCCGCCACAGAAACGGAGAAAAACATTTTACGTAATTTAATTTTATCAATTTCCAATGAATACAGACACTTGGTAACCATTTGAAACGTTTCCAGGATGGGGAACGCACTGAATCACTACCTGAAACCGGATGTCTTCCCCGGACCGGATGTGGTGCCCACATTTGATCCGTTGCTGGGTTTCGAGGGCCGTAAGGAGCGTGTGATGATCGCCACCCAGGAGGAGATGGAGTCCGCCAAGCTGCCGCTCGATGCCCGGGACTATTGTGCCCATTTGGCCATCAAGTACCAGGCCTGCCGCACGGACACCTTCCCGTTTGTGTACAAGTGTGCCCACGAGAAGCACGAGTACCTGACCTGCGAGTACGAGGACTACGTTCTGCGCATGAAGGAGTTTGAGCGTGAGCGTCGGCTGCTGGAGCGCCAGAAGCGTCTTAACAAGGCCGCCTAGTCTAAATCATCGTTAACCTACTCCTACAAAAAAAAAACCCCCTTCTACACACGACCCGGAGGCAGCGGCGGAGGCAGCAGTAGCCGCTACCGGCAGGAGGAGCTCCTGACTGCGCCAGGATCCACACTGCCACTGTCCACGTTGCCTGTTTGCAAGCGAGTTTTCACGCGGAAACGCCAATAAACACCATATGCTAGTAATAACATGGATCTGATCGCCCTTTTTTTTTTTTTTTTTAAGCGAATTAAAATATGATTGAAAACTGATTGAAAGCGAAACAGCAACGAGTAAACCTTTCCTGGAGAGGAAGCCGCCTGGAGGAGGAGAAGAGAAGCTAACAGAAGTGGTTAGACAGTGTCAGGAGAAGTGGCTGATATTTATTTTTATAAAAAGGATAAAAAAAATCGCTTTTTAAGTAAAAAAAGTCTAAAAAAAAAAGGATTAGGTGCTTGAAGAACATTAGTTTGTTTTATAAAAGGATGTCTGAAGGCTTTTCTTTGTGAATATATAGAAATTACCTTAAAGTTTCTAGATAAAGGCTAGTTTCTTCTGTTTTTTTTTTTAAGATTCCAAATAATCATTGTTTATGTTCCAAAAACAAAACTTAGTGTTTCAAAAACTTAGTTTTCCAAAAGCTAGTTTTAGCTTTTTTTAAAAAGTAAAGGGTGTGTGCCCATTCTAGCATATTTCTTTATATAATATATATATCTAATTCCATGTTTTTGTAAGAAATTTTAGGTCTTTTCTGACTAACTAAGAACTCTTTCGGAAAGATGCATATTTTCAAAAGGAATGTACGAAATTGGAACAAGAATTGTACGAAAATTTGACGTAGGCGATTTCGAACCATAAATTGGCAAATAGCTGTTTTAAAAATACATTTTTTTAAATATATTTTAAGATAAAACTAATACAGGGATCTAGAATATAAAAGGCTATTCTCTGACTAGACATATTCATAGGAAAAGTAAAGCTCCTTCTCCAGAGTTTAGTTTTAAATCAAGGTAAGTATGGCTTTCTTAAGTAAGGTACTACTTCTCCACAAAAATATGTCAGTGGATGAGAGTCTATTTATTTTTTTTTAAATAACAACCGGAAGTATCTTCTATTCATAGCTACAACTTTAAATCCAGACCACTATTTCATGAGGGTAGCTTAGCAATTCTCCCAAAAAATAAATGGAGTTTAATAAAATTTAATAGAATAACAAGTATATTCTAGTAACTAAACCCTCAAAATTGGATTCAAAATCCCTCTACCGAGAAAGATAAAAGTTTAATATATAAATGTTTAATACTTTCTAGACTTCTTTTAGCTTCATTCCTCTATTTTAATGGCCATTTAGTAATTGAAACATGCCATTACCTTGTTCTGCCTTATCTCTGCACTCAACAGAATGTTTTCAGTAATTAGAAGACTACACAGGCTGTTTAAAGTTCAACATGATAGACCATACTCTCAGGTTTCTAAAAAAACTAAAAACGTTACCTTAAAAACGTAGCAATTATCAGTTAAAAGTTATCAATGTTTAAAGATAAATATTGAAGACTTAATACCTTCCATCTAAGAATTAGATAACAAAAGGTATAATTTTTTAACATTTTCTTTTCTATTTTTTTTTTTTTTTAAGTTTAATATCGAACAATTGCTTTTTTTTTTTTATTGTTGTAACACACAACCACACACATACGCACACACACACACACACAGCGCTGTTTCCCCAAACACACACCATTTAGAATAAATATGAATCGACGAGGAGGAGGAGGAGGAGGGCCTATATATATATAAACAGATTATATATAGAATTAATGACTAAGGTTGATGGCAAGTTGTTGTGGATAGGGCTATCCTCCAGTTGCCGGACAAGGTGGCGGTGGTGTGGTGATGATAAATGCTCCGGCAAGGACATCTTTGGTAGAGGCTGTTCTTGGCTATTAGAGATCCCCATCAAATGCCCAGCTTGCGCCACAAATGATGCATTCGTCCATCGGTGGCAAAGATGCTGCGCAGCATAAAGACCTGCAACAGACCGACACCGATCATGGCGCTAATTTGGAGTATAGACCAATTGTTGACCATCTGGAAGTTGGTCTCGGCCAGATTGCGATCCCGGGCCTCGTGCGATCGCAGCACATCCTGCATCTGACGGATTTTGTTCAGCTGGAGGCGAATGCGTCCAATAAAGTCCATGATGTCCTGCACCTTCATGTCATAGTACTCATCACGGGATAACCCAGTCAGTTCGTCCACTTCGTTCCATTGAGTATCGCCCAGATGCTCATCACCTTCGCGCTCCACGATCAGCTCAAAGAAGACCGTCTTCCGGTTGAACATGCTGAAGGAGTTGTCGAAGCAGAAACGATAGTCACCACCCTCCTTGATCACCTCGTGGCGATGGATATTCTCCGGCTTCTTGTAGTCACTGACAATGACCAGACCAATGGGATCCATCATGGTGAAGCTAATGTCGAGATCTCCGTGACCGCCATCGATCACCTGGTATTCAAAATCGATTGTTTCACCCTGCTTGACCGGATGATACAGGCACTCGATCTTGCCGGCATCCACATAAATGGTCATCTCCTTGTCGTAACCGACGGTCGTTCCCGCCAACAGCAGGACCATCAGGCAGCCAAATAACTTCCACATCTGCATGACGCACCAGTCCACCAGTCCAGTCAGAAATGATCGGCGATTATATCGCCGGCGAACTGCTCCAAAACAGACCAAAAAAAAAACGAAGAAGTTCACTTGCAAAAAGCGGCGTTCATCCGATAAGCTCGGTGAGAGGAAGGGAAATTAATCGAGCTTGGGGAAATTATCGTTCCTCCGCAGTGTTGCCAAATGGAGGGAAAATTTAAAGAAACTGCAAAGAATTGGAAATATTTGTAATAAATCTTTAACTAAATAAATCTCAACTTACTGAACGTTCTTTTAGCTCAACCAGTTTTTATAGATTATGATAAATGACAGAAGAGAGTTTTTAAAAAGGCTACAAGGATATAAATTTACAAATAAAGTGTTCCAAAGGGACAAATATTTCTTTCTTTCACTTTACAACACAGCTTATAATTTTCTTAAATAACTTTAAAAACTAAGACGTAATTTTAAAAGTCTCTATATACCTATTAAGTATATTTTCTAAAAATAAACAAAATACCTCAGAAATAAACAAGGTTGCCAGATCATTGATACCGCCGAACTACCGGTAGGAGCTTTGCGTAACCGTTTTTTGAATTTAAACCCAAGAAACTGGGTAATGAAGAGTTTTATTTCAGAAACTAAAATATTTAATAGTGGTATCCTGAAAAATTGTTTTATTGTAGCTTACTATTACAAGGCAACAATAAAGTTTTTTAAATATAAAGTTTGGATAACTTCGAAATACTTTCCAATTAAAACCACACGTATTTATGTAACTCTTAGCACTATCTACCAGTATTATTAAAGATTTTTGTCTTTCAATAACTGTTTCTGAGTTATTAGTCTATGGATTTTCCTAAAATTCCTTTTATTACTTATATGACTTGGATTTTTCACAAATTGTTTCGATAAGATTTGGTAGTCTGAGAAAAATGATATTGAGATAAGAACATGGTTGAAAATCAGGTGATTAGTTGGTGCTGATTATCCATTACACGCTGTTTATTCCTATTGGAGCATAGCTACTTTTCAGTTAGAGGCGGTCACAGTTTATAAAGGGATTATTAAAGACGTCGTCGATCGACTGAAAAAATGGAGATATTCCCCACGACTTACGATACCCGGAACAGGATATGGAGCGGATCAAAACGCTCCTCAATCTATAAAGAGGAAACGTCCTTGGGACAGATTATATGCAACACAATGAGAAACTTTCCAAAAAATGTGTTCCAGGTGAGTCATAAAGGGTCAGTGGTTTTTTTAAATTAAGTAACCTTTTTTTAGATCAACGATATTGATGGCGTGACAGTGAACTTTGAGCAAGGTATTTTGTGGGCCATTCGAATGGCCCAGATTTTTAAGAAACGAGGTCTTAAGCACTCAGATGTCATAGGCATTGCGGCCAGGAACTCCACTTACGTAACGCCCTTGGGGGTAGCTTGTCTTTTTAATACAACACCCTTTCACGCAGTGAATCCGACTTACGATGAGGGTTTGTATTTACTTTCTTTAAAAGATTATTTTCCAAATAACCAAGAGATATTGCTTACAGGTACTACCAACCACGTGTTCTCCATAACCAAACCAAGCCTTATATTCTGCGATGGCCAAGACTATCAAAAGATTCTGGCAGCAACCATTGCATGGAAACCGGAGATCTTTACAGTTACGGAACCCCTTCAAGGAGTACCCCACATTGATAGTTTGCTGAATCCCACTCCAACCGAGTTATTTTATCAGTAAGTTGGAATATTAAAGGGCCGTTAGACGAGGGATTAACATGGTTACTTTAAGGCCGGAACCCCTGAAGGAAGGTGGCGGCCAAACGGTGGCTATTTTGTGCTCCTCGGGGACCACTGGCTTACCCAAAGCTGTTTGTTTGTCCAATCGGTGCTTGGTGAAAGACTCTTTGTAAGTCTTTAAGATTTTAAAATTATTTAAATACTCCTCTAACTAAAATACATTGTTTTAGTATATTCTTTAATAACGAAACAGTAACATACTCCGCCAGTGGGTTGGATTGGTATAGTGGCCTGATCTCCTACATCATGTCTACCACAATCGGCTGCACCCGTGTCATTACCAACAGACCCTTTTCTGCCGAATATTTTGTCCAACTGGTGGAGAAGTACAAGATCAGCTATGTCAACTTTTCGCCAAGACATTTGTCCGCTTTGGTGAACTGCCCGGCGGCCACTAAAGAATCCTTGGCCTCTTTGAAAGTTATAACCTACGGCGGAAGCATCAGCTCCTTAGATACACAGAAGCGTCTCCAGAAACTTGTACCTAATTGTGTTCTGATATCCGGATATGGATTTACTGAAGGCGGTGGTGTCTTAACTGCCGGTATGGGATTGAAAAGCGGGAACTCGGTGGGCAAACCTATGCGTGGAGTAAAAATTCGAATTGTAGATGACGACGGAAAGTTCTTGACCTACAATGAAGTGGGTGAGATCTACGTGAATACTGGCCTACCCTGGAATGGATACTACGGCAATCCTCTCGAGACACAACTCATGCAGGACTGTGATGGATGGTTCCATTCCGGTGATCTGGGCTACTTCAATGAACAGAATCTACTATTCATCGTGGACCGCAAAAAGGAAATCCTCAAGTTCCAGGGAAATCAGTACTGGCCATCCGAAATTGAGGCTACCATATCGGAGCTGGCTCAGGTCGAGGAGGTGAGCGTGGTGGGCATTTACGACGAGAAGAATGGAGACTCTGCTGGTGCCTTAGTGGTTAAGAAGAAGGGTGCCACCATCACTGAGCAGGAAATCATCGACCATGTGGCCAAGCGACTGCCTGCCGTTTATAAACACCTTCATGCCGGAGTTGAGTTCACGGAGGATCTTCCGGCCAATCCAAATGGAAAGACAGACAAGCGGGCGGCACGCGAAGAGTTTCTTCGTAGAAAGTCTGCTGCAGCTTAAGCCTCTTTGGTTGGCTTCCCCGATCTGGGGCACCAAAGAACGATTTTTGAGGCTTTTTTGTTGTAATAATGTAAAAAAATGAATGTTTATGATTTCCAAAGTTAAGTTGTAGAATGCGATGAGCTAGAAATTATAAACAAACTAACATAAATCATTTTAAATATATATATTTTTACACCAAAATAGGTTTAAAATCCACAAAGGACTTTTTAAATCAGTTTTTTCCAACATTTTCAATGTTTAAATTAAAATTTATATCAATTTTAGGCGGGAATATGCGTTGATACTGGAAAGAATCAACAAGGTTGCCAGATCATTGGAATTAAATATGCCAAAGTACCGGTAGAGGGCGCTGTGCTTAACCGTTTTTTGAATTCAATTTTTAAAAAATAGATTAGAGTTAAATTAAGCTTAAAGAAATCTTTAAAAATATATTAAATATTAATTTTTACCATAAAACTAAAATTTTATAAAAAGAATACTATTTCAACTAAAAATTTAATTAGAAAAGCTATAAAGAAAAGTATTAGTTCGCTTAAGGGTTAAACCTTACCCCAAAAAATCAATCAACCTTGCTCCATTTACATTTCAAGACCCTGACCTCGCCTCGTTTTCATTTGCAATTAGATTTTCGTTTTCAGTCTACATTTTTCCATTTTCATGAGCTTTGCTTTTGGTTTTGCTTTTATTTTGGCTTCGTTTCGATTTTGTGCCCTTATTTGGCGAAATGTGACTTTTGGTTTTATCTTTTAGAAGCAAGTGCCATAAAAAATAAACAAAAAACAATTAAGTAATTTGTTAAATACGTGAGAGTATCAAATGAAATCCATGATCATTTGGTTTTAATTGAAATTCGTTCACGCGGAAAATGCAGTGAAAGAAATATTTGAATATTTCTCAAATATCTATTCCTTAATTTTCAGGGCTAATCACCAAAGTAATCCTCTCCAGAAAATTACCAAGAAATTTTATCAAAAAAAAAATATTCATCATCATTACCTGATTAGATTCATTTCCTCTATATAGCCTTTAAAAAAAAAAAACTCACTTTCAATGGTATTCCAATCAAGTTACGTAATACCCTTGACAATCTTATCGAAACGGAACAAAATGAAATGGATGGGGCGCCTATAACTTTACCGTTACCCAGTCACCAGGTGTCGTTGACAAAACGAAATAGAACCAACCTGATAAGATTATGTCTAAACTATAATAGCCACGTTTATATATAGTATATAGGTACTACCCTCTAGAACATATCGGTTCTAGTTTAGTAATATAATATCATAATCATAATATTAGAGCTCTTGAGATTGTGAAACTTGGGCATTACTCAAAAAACTGGACGATGTATGAAATCATAGATTTCAAGAGTAATACTAATCCTAGTCATTTCGAAACTATTTCAACAGTTAAACCACAAGACTTGATCATAGAATTTTTTTGAAATATTAAAAATTCTAGAAAGTTTCTAGCTTTATAATGATGAGTTTTATATATGAACATATATTTCGTTTTACGTCAGTTAAAATCGGTGCGACAGCATGACGCAAATAATGTTAAGGGTCGGGGGGGCTGGGATAAGATACGCCTTGGGGCACTCACGTAGAACCATAAAACTTTGGTATTGCAAACAAGAGAGACATACTTTTGTTGATTAAGCAAAATATTCCATTTAGCATATTTTTCAAAAAATATCATCATAGGACCATAGACCAATATTCTTATCAACAAGGTGGAATGGTATTCTCTACTTTCTTATCAAAACATGTACTTTCCGGTGCAGTTGATCATAAAATGTCAGTTTTGATTGACTTCTGGATAGAATAGAGTTTTTAGAACCTTGCTGATATGAAATATCGGTATCAACATCATGAAAATTACATGAAAAAAAGCAATAAAGTCAACTAATTGGTGTTACAATATCGTGTAAACCTTGTAATAGTTTTCTCCAAATTGGGGTAACCTTCATTTTTGATTAAAATTAAAAGAATTCTATTAAAAATAAATTAAATATTTATGCTAGTCTTGAGAATATTCTGGAAAGAAATGTCTTTACAGCAGTTTAACCTTCAAGATGGGCCAGGCAGAAGGTCGGGTCGGGTCGGGTCAAGCAGGGTTACCACATATAAAAGACAAAGCTAGGGATATAGAAAGAGATAGGGATATTTAACGTAATATAGAGAGAAGCCGGCAAATAACACATGTGAATATTTGCACGTGCT